CATGAAGGGACACATCGAGTGGCTGCCACCCGCACGACCAACCAGGGCCGGGGACAAACTGCAACCGAAGTACGTGCCCCTAGCGGGAACTGAACCCGGGTCTCTCCGGACCGCAGGCCGACGCTCTAACCGCTGAGCCAAACCGGCCAGGGCTCCTATTGCAATTTCTATTTAATTTTTCCACTGACTTATTTAGGTCTCATTGGTACTTAAAAAATAGTTTTAAAGATGTGCAAAAATTCAGAAATATCACTCAGTTCTACTTTCTGTGCCCCTATCCTTTGCCATTTATCAAATTTTATTTGATTTCAGTATTATTGACTCTATTCCTTATATTGATTACATCCCTGGGACGGTTTTTGTAACTGGCAATTTGTACATCTTAATCATTTCCCCCTTTCCACCCATTTCCCCTTTGCCCCCATCTCCCCTCTCATCTGGCAGCCATCAATTCGATCTCTGTATCTCTGAGTTTGTTTTTTAGATTCCACATATAAGTGAAAGCATATGGTATTTGTCTTTCTCTGACTTATTTCACTTAGCATAATACCCTTCAAATCCATTCACATTATTGCAAATGGTAAGACTTCCTTTTTTTAATGGCACAGTATATTTCACTGAATATGTGTAACACATCTTTGTCCATTCATCTATTGATGGACACTTATATTGCACCCATATCTTGGTTATTGTAAATAATGCTGCAATGAGTGCATATATTCTTTCCAATTCATGTTTCGGGTTTCTTCAGATAAATTCCCAGAAGTGGAATCACTGGTTCAAAGGCAGTTCCATTTTTAATTTTTTGAGGAAACTCCATACTGTTTTCCACAGTGGCTGCACCAATCTGCATTCCCACCAACAGTGCACGAGGGTTTCCTCTTCTCCACACCCTCACCAGAACCTGTTGTTGATTTATTGATGATAGCCATTCTGACTGGTGTGAGGTGATATCTCATTGTGGGTTTTTTTGTTTTTGTTTTTTTAATTTTTTAATCCTCACCCGAGGACATTTTTCCATTTTTTGTTCAGATAGAGTGGGAGGGAGAGAAAGAGAAACATCGATGTGAAAGGGACACACCGAGTGGCTGCCACCCACACAACCAACCAGGGCCGGGGACAAACTGCAACCAAAGTACATGCCCTTAGCGGGAACCGAACCCGGGTCTCTCTGGACCGCGGGCCGATGCTCTAACCGCTGAGCCAAACCGGCCAGGGCTCATTGTGGTTTTGAAGTGCATTTCCCTCATAATTAGTGATGTTGAACATCTTTTCATATGTCTGTTGGTCATCTGTATGTCCTCTTTGGAGAAAAGTATTCTGGTCCTTTACCTTTTTTTCCTTTTCTTTTGTTAATCCTCACCCGAGGATATTCTTCCATTGATTTTTTTTTTAGATAGAGAGGGAGGGAGGGAGGGAGGGAGGGAGGGAGGGAGAGACAGACAGAGAGACAGAGAGAGAGACAGAGACAGAGACAGACATCGATGTGAGAGAGACACATTGATTGGTTGTCTCCCACAAGACCCTGACCAGGGCTAGGGATGAACCTGCAACCCAGGTTTGTGCCTTGACGGGGAGTCAAACCCGCCACCCTTCTATCTGAAGGCTGATGTTCTCAAACTGGCCAGGACCTTTTGTCCACCTTTTTTACTTTTTTTTTTTTTTTTTATCCTCACCCGAGGACATTTTTGCATTTTTTGTTCAGACAGAGCGGGAGGGAGAAAGAGGAAGAGAGAGAGAGAGAAACATCGACGTGAAGGGACACATCGAGTGGTTGCCACCCGCACGACCAACCAGGGCAGGGGAAAAACTGCAACTGAGATACGTGCCCTTAGCGGGAACCGAACCCGGGTCTCTCTGTACCGCAGGCCGACGCATTAACCGCTGAACCAAATCGGCCAGGGCTTGTCCACCTTTTTTATTGAATCATTTAGTCCGTTTACATTTAAAGTAATTGATAGGTATTTAGTTATTGCCATTTTATTGTTTTCTGATAGTTTTGTTCTCTGTTCCTGTTATTCTCTTGCATGTTGATGACTTTCTATAGTGTTGTGTTTGGATTCCTTTCTCTGTTTCTTGTGTATCTCCTGTAGACTTTTGGTGTGTGGTTACCATGTGCTTCGTATAGACCAAGTTATGTTTATAGTCATCTATTTTAATTTGATGGTCACTTAATTTGAACACATTCTAAAATCACTACAATTTTTACCCCCTCCATGTTTATGTTTTTGTCATGATTTTATTTTACCTCTTTTGTGTGTGTGTGTGTGTGTGTGTGTGTGTATGTATATCCCTTAATTTATTGTTGGAATTACACCTAATCTTTCTACGTTTGCCTTTTAACCTCTATACTAGCTTTACAGTTGGATGATCCTACTGCTTTTACTGTTTGCCTTTGTCAGTGAGAATTTTCTTATTCATATATATATATATATATACATATATATATGTTTTATCTATTTTTAAAGAAATTCCTTTAACATTTCTTGTAATAACTGGTTTAGTGATTAACTAAAACAGCTATGAATTCCTTTAGCTTTGTTGTCTGTGATCAAAATTAGAAATCTTGTAAGCTCTCTGTCACTGCTTGGCATTTGCCTCTCACATCTCAATGAGCATTTTCTCTAGTACTCTTAGCCAGACTACTGAATCAAATACCAGCCATTCTTGGGCCTGGCATGACTTTCTTCAGGTAGTAATTTCCCATATCAGTCATATATTCTGATGTCAAAATAATTTTTCTTGCTTTTAATTGGCTCCTTATCACCTGCCACACTAAAATCAAGCTCTGAACTTTCTCTTTGTTGGATTTTGTTTACTATACCCTTTGCTTTTTCCTGTATCTTCTCATATTTTTCTGTGTAAACTTCCTGCTTTACTTTCCTGCTCTTGATTTTCCACTGGTTGATCCTTATACTTGCCATCTTGTTTCCACTATATCTTTCAGGTAAAATGTAACTAGAAATAGAAGTTTGGAATCAGTGATAAGTCATATTTTAGTCCATCTGAGGAGAAGTGTCTGTTTACAGATACATAATAGGACAGAAGATAGCCAGTTTATCTAGGGTAGTTAATTGAGTTAATTCAGAAGTGGGTATTTGGCACCCTACTTCATTACCCCCTTCTCACTGTGATGTGCATTTGTTACTATAAGCTGCACCCTGAATTCTAATATAAAAGAACTTCATTTTAAATATATTATTGATTTTTCCTCAATATGTATCTCGACTCACATTGATAAAGGGCTACTTTATCTGACTTGAAATATTACAACTGAAAGGGATTTGGAGAATTTGAGTATTGAACCTTAGAGGGAATTACTAGGATAAGAGAAGTTTAAAGAATTTAAATGATCTAACCTATAGGCAAGAAAAGTCAGTTATATTTTTTGTCTGATGGATGTTGCCAGTTTATAGAGATACTTAAAGAATCAGAACAAAAGTTATTGGCATTTGAGTTGCAGTCAGGAGTAGTTTAGAAAAGTTGAAAGAAGTAACTGTCTATCTCCTATTTTCCTCCATCACCTAGTTTGCAAATTATTTACTGCCAATGGAGTCAAGCAGGGCTAGGACTTGTTGACTCTGATTGTGTACCTTGGACAGTGCCTGGAAGTCCAGTTGGCTGTATGACAGAAGTCTGTCTGCCTTTTTGACTTCCCAATCAGGTAATTAAATGTGAGGTAATCTGAGTTATGTACTAGTTTGTCTTTCTATATGCTACTGTCAGTTTCTAGGATGTGGAAAACTTGCTTTCTTTTTATGTCTGTATGGTCAGACCAAAAGATGCTGTGAGTTAACAGTTTTGTTAGCAGTGAGGTTTCAGAGCATTGTTTTTTATTTTATTTTATTTTGACATTTGAAGCAAACTTTAATAATGGTGATGAAACTCCTATGATGGTAAATGAAAACTTATTTTCTGAATGTGTTGTTAATTAATTTATTTTTGTTATAGATGTTTCTCCTCTCCCCCTCCCCCCATTGATACCATCCTCCGGATCCTGCCCACCCTCACAGTATTGTTGTCTGTGTCCATTGGTTATGCTTATATGCATATAAATTCTTTGGTTTATCACTTCTCTCTCCCCAACCCCCCCACCCCCGAGGTTTGTCAGTCTGATCCCTACTTCTGTGTCTCTGGCTCTATTTTGTTCATCAGCTTATTTTGTTCATTAAATTCCACAAGTAAGTGAGGTCATGTAATATTTGTCTTTCTCTGACAATATGTTGTGTTTTTTGTTTTTTTTTTGTTTTTTTGAGGAAACACCATATTGTTTTCCACAGTGGCTGCACCAGTTTGCATTCCCGCCAGCAGTGTACTAGAGTCCCCTTTTCTCCACACCCTCACCAGCACTTGTTTGATGATTTGTTGATGGCAGCCATTCTGACAGGTGTGAGGTGATACCTCATAGTTTTAATTTGCATCTCTCTGATGATTAGTGGCATTGAGCACTTTTTCATGTCTCTTGGCCATTTGTATGTCCTGTTTGGAGAAATGTCTGTTTAGGTCCTCTGCCCATTTTTTAATTGGATTCTTTGTCTTCCTTTTGTTGAGTTGTATTAGTACTCTACATATTTTGGAAATGAACCCCTTATCTGATGTATTGTTGGCAATTATACTCTCCCATACAGTGGGTTCCCTTTCTATTTTGATGCTTGTTTCTTTTGCTGTGCAGAAGCTTTTTAGTTTGATGTAGTTCCATTTATTTTTTTTATTTTTATTTTTTATCCTCACCCGAGGATACTTTTCCATTTTTTGTACAGATAGAGTGGGAGGGAGAGAGAGGAAGGGAGAGAGAGAGGAACATCGACGTGAAGGGACACATCGAGTGGCTGCCACCCGCACGACCAACCAGGGCCGGGGACAAACTGCAACCGAAGTACGTGCCCTTAGCGGGAACCGAACCCGGGTCTCTCCGGACCGCAGGCCAACGCTCTAACCGCTGAGCCAAACCGGCCAGGGCTAGTTCCATTTATTAATTTTTTCCTTTTGTTTCTCTCTAGGCATTGTATCAGTGAAAATTCTGCTGCGGATAGAGCATTGTTTTTTAAAACCTGGGAGATGCTATTTAAGGATATATGTGTTCCTTTCAAATTATTAGTTGTAAGTCCTAATAGAGGTTGGAGGTTAAATTTATTTATTAATATTCTTGAAAAAATATAATTTCCATTATATTTCCTGGTCATGTCATTAAATTTTCTTATCCTAATGAACAATTCATAATTTAATATTTGTTGAATATTTTAATAGTGTTAAATTAGTAGCACTAATAGATATATAATAGATATACACTAAAATATAAAGTATGTGTTAAATCTGAAATGGATTTGCTAACTCCATGCAATGTAGAGCATGAATGAACACATTGTTACTAAATTGGTAAGAGAGTTCTTGCAACATGAATCATTGAATCAAGAATTGCTTGTTTGTTCAATGAGTAATTTTAAGATAAGAACTGTTACTTAATTGTTAAGATTGTAATGTAAGAGTGAATTTTTTGAGGATACTCTTCTTCTGAGAATAGTAAAACCATTATTATAAATTGTCCTAGTAAAATGGTGAATAGCATTCTCTGTCTTCTTGTTTTAATTATTTTTAAAATGGTTCTCTATACATTATTTTTTCCTTTAATTTTTATTGTTTTAAAAATTTTATTTAAAATTCCCGTCCCCTTCCTCCTCTTTGGTTACCATCATCTTCTTTTCTATATCTGAGTCTATTTTTGCTATGTTTATTCATTTATTATTTTTTTAAATTATACATATAAGGGAGATCTCATTGTAGTTTTAATTTGCATTTCTCTGATGATTAGTGATGCTGAGCATCTTTTCATCTGTCTTTGCCATCTGTATGCCTTCTTTGGAGAGATGTCTATTCTGGTCCTTTCCCCCTTTTTAAATCAGATTGTTTGTTTGTTTGTTTGGTGTTAAGTTGTATGAGGTTTCATATCTTTTTGGATATTAACTCCTTATTGGACGTATCATTGGCAAATATCTTCTCCCATTCAGTAGCTTGTCTTTTTGTTTTTGTTGATGGTTTTCTTCACTGTGCAAAACTTTTTATTTTGATGTAGTCCCATTTGTTTATCTTTTCTTTGGTTTCCCTTGCCCAAGGAGACATTTCCCCCAAAGTATCACTAAGAGTGATATCACAGTTTACTGCCTATATGTTTTCTTCTAGGAGTTCTGTGGTTTCATGTCTTACATTTAAGTCTGTAATCTGTTTTGAGTTCAGTCTTACATATGGTGTAAGAGAATGATCCAGTTTTATTCTTTTGCATCTATCTGTTCAGTTTCCCCATACCATTTATTGAAAAGACTGTCTCTACTCCATTATATATCCTTGACTCCTTTGTCGTAGATTAATTGACCATATAAGTTTGGGTTTATTTCTGGGCTCTCTATTCTGTTCCATTGATCTATATGTCTGTTTTGATGCCAGTACCACCTTAGAGGGGAAAGAAATATGCTGGATTAGGTTGCTGCACCCAGGAGACTTCAAAGGCAGTGATAATGTTCTTTATATTAGACTGGGTGGTGGTATATAAATGTTTATTGCCTCATTCTACCATACACATATTTCTTAAATGTCTTTGTACCTACTCAGTATTAATAAAAATATTTTAAAGGCCATAATGAGTTCAAATAGAATATACTTTGAGAGCAAATGAATACAATTATAACCTAAATATCAGCACAAATATCTTCTTTGAGGAAATAAATGTACAGAGTTTAGAATCTACTTGTTCAAATAATTATTGAATTTTCATTTTACTTGTTTTTAAAAGCTTGAGGCATCATACTTTTGTTTTTAGAACTATCATACAGCCCTGGCTAGTTTTGTTCAGCGGTTAGAGCGTCGGCCTGCAGTCCCGAGAGACCTGGGTTCGGTTCCCGCTAAGGGCATGTACCTCAGTTGCAGTTTGTCACCGGCCCTGGTTGGTCGTGCGGGTGGCAGCCACTCGATGTGTCCCTTTCACATCAATGTTTTTTTCTCTCTCTCTCTTCCTCTTTCTCCCTCCCACTCTATCTGAACAAAAAATGGAAAAAAATGTCCTCGGGTGAGGATAAAAAAAAAAAGAACTATCATACATATTCTATATTTGTTTATAACAGAACATATCACATGAAATTGTATTTTAATTCAGTTTAAAAATTAAACTTAAGTTCTCAAATAATCTCATATTTACATCCTTATTTAGAAGCTTCATGGTGAGAGCTAAGCTCTTGGCTGTTTTTCTCCTGTGATTGACAGAACAGTCGGTGGAGTTAGTGGTGTGATTGTGTACAGCTTGGAATTACTTTAGGTTATTCTCTGAAAATAGGACTTCAAGCAAAGCATCTTGTATTCCTTTTGCAGAAATGTTGCGGAAGTGCTGCTGAAAGGGCCAGAGATGCAAGGATTTGGGACACATTTTGAACCTTTAAGCTGTCTGACATTGACCTCCTTTTATTATTAATAAAGAAGAAGCAGGAGCTTAGGATGTATTAACACCAGTTCATTTATATACTAACCGGACAGTGTTCTGCAACAATTCTACATTGTAAAGAACTGGATTGGCACAAAATAAAATAATTTCATATTATACTCAGCTTATAATATGACTCGATGGAGGAAAATTTGATAAGCATGAGGGAAGACCATTCTTTTCATGTTCGTTACAGGTAAGACTACTGCTTTCTTTGTGGGTGATTTTTAATCCTTATTTAAATATGTATTTAACTCTGGTCATTTCAGATTTAACTTTGTAAATATTCAAAATATACCAACCATAGTATCTCCTATAAACGAAGTTTTCTTTTGTTGTGGTGGTTGTTAAGTTTTTATATCCTTTCTATAGAGAAATAGTAGAAGAGACCAATTATATACTATAGTTTGTTTATTGTTTTTTTGTGGAAGAGTTTATGAATAGTTTATAGTTTTGTAACTTTCTATAATGCAAATATAAAATTGAAAAATATTTCTAAGTCTTTGGCGGTAAAAGATGGATTTTGTAATGTGGTCAGCTGAATGACCTAATTTTTTTGTTACAATTTTTAAATGGTCTTTCTAAATGAACTTTTTAAAAAATGGGTATTAACATTGGAATGTGTGGATACTTTTCTAAACATGATAAGCTAATAGCCAGTTTAATATTTAGTGATAAAATATTAATGACATTTCTGATACATATGGAAACAAAGCAAGGATATCTGCTTCATTATTATTATTATTATTTAACATTTATTCTGGAAATTCTGGTCGTTGCACTAAACTGCAAAATAAACACAAACAAATATTAGAACAAGACATAATTTTTAGTAAGGCAATTAGATAGTAATAAATTCTTTATCAAAACTGTTACAGGTTAATGTTAAATCAACATCAGAACATATAGCAATGAATATTCAAAATCTCTAATGAATGAAAGTTTTTGCTACCTTAGATGTCTTAACACATATTTAGGAAACAGTGAGATTGTCCTTTGGAGCACATAGTTCATTTTAGGGCATAGTGCCAAGGAAGTTTGTATAGATAAGGTGAGGGCATTTTTATTAAAAATGAAGTTTTGCCCTGGCTGGTTTGGCTCAGCGTTTAGAGCATCAGCCTGCAGACCAAAGAGTCCCGGGTTCAATTCCAGCCAACAGCACATACCTAAGTTGGGTTTGTCCCCGGCCCCAGTTGGGGTTGTGCGGGTGGCAACCAATCGAGGTGTCTCTCTCACATCAGTGTTTCTCTCTCTCTCTCTCTCTCTCTCCCTCTCACTTTGTCTGAAGATAAATGTAAAAATATCCTCAGGTGAGGATTAAAAAAATAATAATAAAGTTTCAAATAAAAGAAAATAGAAGATATTCAACATAATTAAAATTAGCTTTTAATATATGAATTTCACTCATCCTGTCTTTTGGGGCATAGTTCCAGAAGCCTGGGAGTTACATATGCACTTCCCGTCCCACTCTCGGTACCCAGTGCGAAGCCTAGACAGGTTTACCTCCTAAGTGTTGCTCAGATTCATCTACCATCTAGACTCTTAACAGTCAAGAGTCAGCTCAGAGATTATCTCCTTTTGGAAACCACTTTGAAACTCCATAGTTTGTCTGCATGCCCTCTTTGTGCTCCTGTGCGTATCTTAGCACCAACTATATTAAAATTTAATGTATATGTTTATGTAAACAGATATTTGTCTCCTCTTCCTTTGCCACTCCCTTCTTTGATCATTAGCTCCCTTAGGGCAGCCATGATGACTAGCATGTCGTCTAGCTCAGTCCACATTTTTTTTTTATCCTCACATGAGGACATTTTTCCATTTTTTGTTCAGATAGAGTGGAAGGGAAAGAGAGAGAGAGAAACATCAATGTGAAAGGGACACATTGAGTGGCTGCCACCGCATGACCCAACCAGGGCTGGGGACAAAGCGCAACCGAGGTACCTGCCCTTAGCGGGAACCGAACCCAGGTCTCTCGGGACCACAGGCTGACACTCTAAGCGCTGAGCCAGACTGACCAGGGCCACAATTTTTTTTTTTAAATTCATTTTTTCCTTTATTGATTTTAGAGAGAGGGGAAGTGAGAGAGAGAGAGAGATGGAAACATCGATGAGAGAGAACATTGATTGGTTGCCTCCTGCATGCCCCCCACTGGGGATCAGGCCCACAACCTGGGCATGTGTCCTGAACCGGAATCAAACCAGCGACCTCTTGGTGCATGGGTAGATGCTCAACCACTGAGCCACCAGCTGGACTCAGTCCACATTTGATAGAATTATTGAACTTCACTGGACACAATCATGAGATGAACTTAGTAAGATGTTTATCTGTCTTGCTAAATGTTTTCAAGAGTGGTATACTCGCCCTGGCCAGTTTGGCTCAGCGGTTAGAGCGTTGGCCTGTGGTCCAGAGAGACCCGGGTTCAGTTCCTGCTAAGGGCATGTGCTTCGGTTGCAATTTGTCCCCGGCCCTGGTTGGTCGTGCGGGTGGCAGCCACTCGATGTGTCCCTTTCATGTCAATGTTTCTCTCTCTCTCTCTCTTCCTCTCTCTCCCTCCCACTCTATCTGTACAAAAAAATGGAAAAATGTCCTCGGGTGAGGATGAAAAACAAAACAAAAAACAAGAGTGGTATACTCCTCATTCTGTACGAGCAGTAGCTAAGGAGGAGTGGATTGTAGCTCTTCTTGTAGGAAGGTCTTAGATTTGTCCTTTTTCCATGATACAGCATATGTCAAACATGGTTATACACTGGCATAGGACTTCACCAAAAGAAACTTAAAACTCTGTAACTATTTTTAGTAAGAATGTACCAAACAAATCTCTGGTTTAATCAGTGCTCTAAGATCAGCATTCTCTGTGTTGATCAGATTGTTGTATAATGGAAAGTAATAGCTTGTATCCCTTATGTTAGGGGTCATGGCCTCTAGTGCAAGTTATTACTCTACTGTAGTAAACACTTAGCATGTAATGTTTTGTCCATCTGGTTCTTTCATTGTGGAGGTTCTCATCTACCCCTGGAGTTTGTAATTTTGATATGGAATAATTCTTTGGACACTAAGGCACCTCCTGAGAGGTATTAGAATGTTTTATGACATATTTTGCAACATAATTGTGAAGATAGAGGGAAATGGAAGTTGATAGTAAAATGGAATTAGTTCTAAACTTTAATTTTAAGTAATTACTGTTAATTTTTTTTTTAGGTATGATAACTAGTATTGTGATTATATATTTTTGAAAATGACTCCTTTTAGAGATACATACTGACATATTTATAAATGAAATCATGCTTTCTGGAATGTACTTCAAAAGAATCTGGGGTTGGTGAGTGAGGATGGAAGTAGAGATGAAACATTGATAATATATTATATATTGGTAATTGTTGATGTTGGGTATATCAGGTTCATTTTACTAACTTCTCTAGTTTTGTATTTCTTTGAGAAATTTTGTCCATACTTGTTACTATGAATTATAAACATTTCAATACTTTTTAGTATTGTAAAAAATTAGACTATTGCATATAAGTTGTAAATTAATACTGTTTCGGTGTTGAATTCTTCAATTTTGCTAGGTAAATGTAGTTGTTAATAATATTCTTTCTTGCCCTGGCTGGTGTGGGTCAGTTGGTTGGGTGTTGTCCTGTACACCAAAAGGTTGCCAGTTCAATTTCCCATCAGGGACACATGTCCAGGTTGCGGGCTCAATCCCTGGTAGGGGGCTTGCAGGAGGCAACCAATTGATGTTTTGCTCTCACATTGATGTTTCTCTCTCTCCCTCTCCCTTCCTCTCTCATATATATAAAAATATAAATATAAATAAAAAAATAATATTCTTTTCTGAAAATAGTTTGAGATAACATGGAGGAAAGAGCACTGGATTTAGAGACAGACAGGATTTCACTTCTCAGCTTTGCCTCTGTATGATCTGAAGCAGGTCACCTAACCTCTCTGAGCATCAGTTTCCCCTTCTGTAATAATGCCTATCTCAGAAGGTTATTTTGAGAATTGAATTTGATATAATGTGTAGTAAAATCACTTTTAAAACTGTTACCACTCAGAATTTAAATCAAGATAATTTTGCACTGCTCTTCCTTCTACAAAATAAACTAAAATCACTAGGTAAACATGGCAAATTGAATGGATGAAAATTGTGGGGGCCGGGACTAATGGTGGAAAAGGTCAGTGCCCAATAAGAACACGCAGAGGTTGGAGCTAAGATCTGTAGAGATTCGATAGCACAGTGGGAAGGTGCACAGCAGTCTTGTTTTGAATCTTAACTTCTGAATTCCACCATTTGTGAGCCCTTTGAGGGAAGAGTCAGATTTGGATATAAAAGGTATTAAATCATTTAAAATGAAGTATCATCAGTGTTCTAAACCTCTTTTGCTTTCATTGATGTACTGCAAATGCAAGAAACCAAAATTAAGGAGATAAATAAAAAATCTAGTATGGAAGAAAAGTTTAAAATATTAAAATATAAAAATGGAAAGAAATTAAAATAACATGAGTTTGTGCAGAAAGTGAGGAATTATCATGTTCAGTTAGTTAGCAAAACTGAAAACATTCCCATCTGTGATTATTTATAGTTATTAGAAATGCATGTTCTCTGATTATACAACTAGATAGGCCATTAGGAAGAATAAAGGAAACTTTGTATGTGGGATGGATTTTAATGGAGAGATATTTTCCTGGTTTGCCTTCTACTCTGTTTGTCTTTGTTTTCAACCCAACTGGTAAACAAATGAAGTAATTCTATTCTCTCATAGAGACAGAGAGGATATGAAATTACTTTCTCTGTTACTATTTAATGATCTTCTAAAATATTTATAAACCAACCTGCCTTGACTATTTTGCAATTAGATATATTTCTTTGAGGTGTTTGAGATTTTGCCAGAATATTAACTTCTTTCTAATAAAATATACCAGAGCCATAATATGTCTTAGAATTAATCATAAACTCCAGTCTGGGACTTGATTTTGGGCATTAGTAACTGAAATAACTTTTCTAAGGTAGTTTATTCTATAGGACAATCTCACTCCATGGATTTCAAGAACAGCTAGCTGTGTAGCCACTTTGCTATCACTGTTTCTAATGAGAATTATGTGAAATACCTTTTAAAAATTTGTAGTTCATGACAATTCAGACAATAGCCAAATTTTGTTAACTGCATCATCATTTGGATTAACAGTTCCAGTATCATGTTGTATAAGTTTCAGTCCAGAAGGTCAGATACTTGTGAAGACATTTATTTGAGGAAAACACCTCTCTGTTTTATATGGACACAGGCCAACACTGTTGTGAACTGATAATTTTTCCGTGTCTTACCTCTGCAGAGCTGGTTCTGTGTTTTCTCTGATGTCCTGGTCAGCAGCCTTGTCACCCTGAGCTGCTGCTGCTGCTGTGTGAAACTGTCCCTCACACCTGAGAATTCATGGGCTGACATTAGTTTTCCATTGGTTGATGGCAGGGAATTTTTTTGACCAGTACTCTATTGATGGATAGTTAAATTATTTTTTTGCTGCTGTGAACACCCTTTACATATATCTTTTTTTTTTAATACATTTTTTCTTTATTGATTTTTAGAGCAAGAGAGAGAGGAATGGAGAGGGAGAGAGAGAAACATTGATGAGAGAGAACACTGATTGGCCGCCTCCTGCATGCCCCCCACTGGGGATTGGGCCCACAACCTGGACATGTGCCCTGACCAGGAATTGAACTGGTGACCTCTTGGTGCATGGGTAGATGCTCAACCACTGAGCCACACTGGCCAGGCTCTATTCTGTGGCTTTTTGAATTTTTGAATTTTTTCCCTATGATAATTCTTAGAAGTTCTGTGGTTTCAGTATTTAAACAAAGACAACTAGCTAAGGTACCTCATCTAGCAAAAGAACCTTTAATAAAATCACATTTTTACATCTTACTGTTTTTCTGACTCTCACTTCTCTTTACACATAGAATATTATACCAGTAACCTCATACAACCTTCAACAAAAATACTCTAATCTTTTATGAACTCTTTCATTTTCAAAATATAGTTCTAAAGGACAGTTTTTACTTGTGAGAGACAATACAGACTTATTTGAAATGATCTAAATATAACAATTTAAGGTTTAACTAACTTTTTCATGTGCTTTTAGATCATCCCTCCTATATCTAATTGACTTGGTCTGATGTTGAAGGAAAGTGTTAATAGAGGTTTACTTGCATTATTTTGCCTGGATCCATGAATGAGGTTGAAATCACTAGTCTAACTGTGAACAAACAGTAGCCTTTGGCTAAGTCACTTGAATCATAAAAAAATATATATTCCTGGGTGTAAAACTTGAAAAAGACTTGGCAGAGGTGACAACATAAACCTGCTCTTCTGAACCAGAAGTCAGCTTTGAACCTTTGTCATTGGCTCTGTTACTGTTAGTCCAGATTTTCTTTTGGCTTCACCAGATTTATTGTCTACTTTTACAATTTCATTTTAATTCATGGCTCTAAGGAGCCTAAAAGACAGCACCTGAAGAAACATGTTAATTGACCTGCTACTAGAAATACAAAAGTATTATCATATTTGAATGCATTTTGGATGAGTGGATGTTTAATTCACATTTCCTGTTAAGGCAGTGATTTTCAACCCTGGCTTGTACAATGGAATTACCTGGGGACTTAATAAAAATATTACAGTCAGACCTCACACCCAGAAAGTGGGACCCAGCATTGAGGGTTTTAAAAAGCGCTCCACATGAGCTCCACTGTTGTGCAGGCAAAATCAAGGCCCACTGCTCAGTTAGACTTGCTCAAAGCTAATTCTAGTGAGGCATCATTTAGTGCTGCTCAAAAACAGATGAACTACACCAGAGTTTTCCAAAGGGTGATATGTATGCCAGTGATGGTACATAAGGGAATTTTTTTTTTCTTTATTGATATTAGAGAAAGGAAGAGAGAGATAGAAACATCAATGATAAAGAACATTGATTGGCCACCTCCTGCATGCCCCCCACTGGAGGTTTGGCCCACAACCTGGGCTTGTGCCTTGACCAGGAATTGAACCTGCAACCTCTTGGTGCATGGGTTGACACTCAACCAGTGAGCCACACCGGCCAGGCTGCATATTTGTTTTATAATGTGCATGAGAAGAATAAACACAAGTACCACATCAAACTCAGTCTCATAGATCCTGCTTTGGATGAAGCTAGATCATTTTTTTAATGATGTGCCATTTTAAAGGGCATTGGACAAATTACAGAAAGCCATTTAAAGTGAGCGATTAAGGCCCTGGCTGGTTTGGCTCAGCGGTTAGAGCGTCGGTCCACAGTCCAGAGAGACCCCGGTTCGGTTCCCGCTAAGGGCACATACCTCAGTTGCAGTTTGTCCCTGGCCTCGGTTGGGGTTGTGCGGGAGGAAGCCACTCGATGTGTTCCTTTCACGTCAATGTTTCTCTCTCTGCTCTCTCTTCCTCTCTCTCCCTCCCACTCTGTCTGAGCAAAAATGGAAAAATGTCCTCGGGTGAGGATAAAAAATAAATAAATAAAGTGAGCGATTAGGTAAAAAATGGAAAAATGTCCTCGGGTGAGGATAATAAATAAATAAATAAAGTGAGCGATTAGGTAAAAAATGGAAAAATGTCCTTGGGTGAGGATAATAAATAAATAAATAAATAAATAAAGTGAGCGATTAGGTAGTATGTAGACATGGCAGAAATCACAAAAATGTTGAAGCAACTTCAGTGAAGGGCATCTACTAACTTTTAGCATTAGAACCCAGAGTATCAGTCCTTTTTCTCCCTGGATATATTTACAGTAACTTAATTCTTCAGGCTTTTAAAATTCAGTGACAGAGAAACATCTGTAACAAAAATAAATAAATAAATAAATAAAAATAAAATTCAGTGATAGACTGAGAATTAGTATTTCTGCCAATCTTTTTTTTTTTATCCTCACTTGAGGACATATTTCCATTTTTTGTTCAGGTAGAGTGGGAGGGAGAGAGGGGAACAGAGAGAGAGAAACATCGATGTGAAAGGGACACATCGAGTCCTGCCACCCGCACGGCTCAACCAGGGCCGGGAACAAACTGCAACCAAGGTACATGCCCTTAGCGGGAACCGAACCTGGGTCTCTCTGGACCGCAGGCCAACGTTCTAACTGCTGAGCCAAACTGGCCAGGACTATCATTGCTTTCTAACATAAAAGTTTCTTGACACTTAGTTCTCTATGGAAGTGTGCCTTGTAGATCAAGATATTTTGCTCCTCTATTTTTCTAAGGTACAGGTGATTGTGTGGTGGTGGTAATAATAGGAAGGAGTGAGTGAGAGTAGTGAGAGTGTATGAGAAAGAGAGAGATGGGAGGAGGGGTTGATGGACAAGTGAGTAGATTGAGAAGAGTGTAATTCTAGAACTTCACTTTTCTCAGGCACCCCATTCTCCCAAACTCTCAGGAGTCTATAGTCTGTCACAACTCAGAACAGTTTAGGAAACAATTTTAGCTTCTCTCATTGGTCAAGTGGGTCACTGTGTTGGGTGGTGGGGATAAATTAAAATGGGCTCCAGCCTGGCTGGCGTGGCCCAGTGGTTGAGTGAGCATCGACCCAGGCACCAAGAGGTTGCTGGTTCAATTCCTGGTCAGGGCACATGCCCAGGTTGTGGGCCAAATCTCCAGTGAGGGCCATGCAGGAGGCAGCCAATCGATGTCTTTCATCGATGTTTCCATCTCTCCCTCTTTCTCCCTTCCTCTGTTTCTAAAATCAATAAAGAAAAAAAAAAAATTTTTTAAATAACAAAGAAAATGGGTTCCATAGATATTTTGCTATTCTGTATAAGACCTGAGTCTCACAGACATTTGAATAGGCAAATGACCTCTTGCTATAAATAATGGCTTACTGTTTTATCAGTCCTGTGTATGCACTTCAGTTATAGAGACAGCTCTTCTGAGCAACGGTAGCCACAATCCACATTTAAATTATGTTACTGGAAGTGAAAAACCCTGTGGTGCCATTATAATGTAATGTTATAATTGTCTGTCCTATGTAATTTTGTAGAATGGAAGCTTCTTGCCTGGAGCTGGCCTTGGAAGGGGAGCGGCTGTGTAAATCAGGAGACTGCCGTGCTGGGGTGTCCTTCTTTGAAGCTGCAGTTCAAGTTGGAACTGAGGACCTAAAAACACTCAGTGCTATTTACAGCCAGCTGGGCAATGCTTATTTCTATTTGCATGATTATGCCAAAGCATTAGAATACCACCATCACGATTTAACTCTTGCAAGGTAATTACTTGAAGCTTTTTAATGTTCTTTCTCCCTAAATTTTTGTCACTTTCAAAATATTTGTATTCCATTAAAAAAACTAACAATACATTTAGTGAGTTCTAATTAAATAGCATTGAATTTTAAAATGAGTCCTTAAGGTGAATTTCATTAAATGAATGAATAGTAGTGAAATCACCCTGGAGTTTAATTAAGTAAATGAAAATTGATTTAAATTTAAATACAGGAGTGTAAGTTTTAAATTTTTATTCAGAGTAGGTTTCAAGGCTAATGGGTCTTCTTACCTTAAGCATGTTAATTGTCTTCTAGAGAAAATTGTATTCTGGCCACTTTATATTTTAATACAATTAGCTTTCTCCCCCTCCCACCCCCCAGGACTATTGGAGACCAGCTGGGGGAAGCCAAAGCTAGTGGTAATCTGGGAAACACCTTAAAAGTTCTTGGAAATTTTGATGAAGCCGTAGTTTGTTGTCAGCGACACCTAGATATTTCCAGAGAACTTAATGACAAGGTAATAAGGAAACATTTTTTATTTATTGCTTTGTATTTTAATTCTGTTTAATCATTCTGTAGCTTATCTAAAAGTTAATAGCAAAAAAGAAATATTTATAGAAAAGCAGAAGGAAAGAAACACACAAATTTTTAAATAGAGGAGACAAGTAAATAATGAGAGGTCCTTCTTTCATAAGTAACTATTTGTTTGGTTCCGTGTGGATAGCCACTGTAAACCTTTCTTTCTCTTGACTATAGTGCCAAGGATATTACAAATAAATGTATGTGATAGGCATTATAACACTTGACCTCTGGGTTCAAAATGTAAAACTAGCTTTGGCTGGTTTGGCTCAGCGTTTAGAGCATCGGCCCGCAGACCAAAGGGTCACAGGTTCAATTCCTGGTCTAGGGTATGTACCTGGGTTTCACGTTCAATCCTGGCCCAGTTGGGGTTGTGCGGGAGGCAACCAATGATGTTTCTCTCTATATATATCTTTCTGTCTCTCCCTCCCTCACTCCCTCCTTTCCACTTTATCTCTATTGAAAAATCAATGGAAAAATATCCTCGGGTGAGGATTAACAACAACAAAAAAGTAAAAGTAAAAACTCTGCTGCCATCTTCATCTAGGTGGGAGAAGCAAGAGCACTTTACAATCTTGGAAATGTGTATCATGCCAAAGGGAAGAGTTTTGGCTGCCCTGGTCCTCAAGACGCAGGTGACTTTCCGGAAGAAGTGAGAAGCGCTCTGCAGGCAGCTGTGGATTTTTATGAGTGAGTGGTGCTGACACTGGGTGGCCCCCTAAGCCATGGATCTGCTGTACATTCTTTGTTCCATAGGAAGCTTCAATGTTTGGCAAAGGTTTTTGAATTATGGAATAGCAAGTAAAAATAAACCAAATTGGACTAATTAGTGGTAATCCCCTCCCCAGGAAAGCTTCCATGTAAGCTGCAGACTAGTGCCACTTAGTGGCAGAAGCAAGAAGTATCATTGGTTAGTCTAAGTCAACTTGGGTAATTTTAGTCTCTTATCAATAGAATTTCATAGAACTTATTAGTTTAGAGGTTTCAAGATTAACTAAGGCCTTTACCCTGGGCAGAAATCCCCCTGGATGGTTTAGTAAAATGTATCCTGCCAGTTCCTATAATCACTCTCCATCATAGACACATCTTTAAACTGTGGCACGTTAGGGCTGTAAGCTTGTTACATTTTTTTTCTGATAAAAAGACTTAAATGTGTAAATCTAAATAATAAATCCCCCCCGCAAATCCTTTTTTTTTTTTTTTTTACAACTTTTTGTTATCACCTAGGGAAAACCTGTCACTAGTGACTGCTTTGGGTGACAGAGCTGCCCAAGGACGTGCCTTTGGAAATCTTGGAAACACACATTACCTCCTTGGCAACTTCAGGGATGCTGTGATAGCTCATGAGCAGGTACAGTGCAAGGCTCTGGAGCCAGTCCTCTTTCCATCCGTGTTCTGCACAGTAATGAGATTATTCTTTACTTTATAGCTATATCTAATCAAAATTTTCTCTTTCAGCGTCTCCTTATAGCAAAAGAATTTGGGGATAAAGCAGCTGAAAGAAGAGCATACAGCAATCTTGGAAATGCATACATATTTCTTGGTGAATTTGAAATGGCCTCTGAATACTACAAGTTAGTCCAATAATTCTGTAGATAAATGTAAAATGAGTAGTTATGCCTAGCCAGTGTGGCTCAGTGGTTGAGCGTTGACCCCTGTACCAAGAGGCCACCAGTTTGGTTCCCGGTCAGGGCACATGCCCAGGTTGTGGGTCTGATCCCCAGTGAGGGGAATGCAGGAGGGGCAGCCAATTGATGTTCGCTCTCATCGATGTTTCTTTCTCTCTCTAAAATCAATAAAGAAAAAAATATTAAAAATAAAATGAGTAGTTATGCAAACCTATTAAATCACAGGCAGGTTTAAAACCTAATCTTTGCTGCACATTAGCAATAGGACGTTGGGCTTCTAAGCCTAGTTTCCTCATCTGTAATGGAAGATATCAGTACCTTGCTTTTGAGGTTGTTGTGAGAATTGAAGGAAAGACTATATTAAGCACTTACTTAACATAGTACATACACAGTGCTCAGTAAATATTACTGTACCTAATTTTTTTTTTAAATCCTCACCCGAGGATATTTTTCCATTTATCTTCAGATAGAGTGGGAGGGGGAGAGAGAAAGAGAGAGAGAGAAACATCAACGTGAGAGAGACACATCTACGAGTTGCCTCCCGCACAACCTAACCAGGGCTGGGGACTGAACTGCAACTGAGGTACATGCCCTTGACCGGAACAAACCCGTAACTCTCTGGTCCACGGGCTGACCCTCTAATCGCTGAGCCAAACTGGCCAGGGCTGTACCTAAGATTTAATAGCAGCAGTCTGACCCCTTTATACTATTACTTTTTACCTTTAAAAATTAAAAAAATTTTTTTTTTCCTCTATTGATTTTAGAGAGGGGGCGTGAGAGAGAGAGAAACGTTGATGAGAGAGAACATCGATTGGCTGCCTCCTGCATGCTCCCACTGGGGATTTGGCCCACAACCTGGGCATGTGCCCTGACTGGGAATCCAACCGGTGACCTCTTGGTGCATGGGTTGATGCTCAACCACTGAGCTACACCGGCCGGGCTACCTTTAAAACTGTTTTCAGATTAAATTATTAACTTGTTTAGCATGTGTAGTGTGTATATTTATATGCTTTTTTCCACCCAGTTTGCAGAGAGACCAAAAGAAAGCCTAGTAACAAAAATAAGCCTCGTTTCCCCAGTTCCCACTGGGTTTTTCCCACCATCACACCTCTGCCTGCCCACCTTGATCCTCACTCACTAGATTGACCATCCCAGCTCCTTCTGTGGCAGGTCTTTCTAATCTGTCAGAGTTCAGACTGCCTAAGTTGGCCTGCTCTGTGCTTTAGGTTGTTTAGAGTTTTCCCTAGTTAGTGGGGAGTGAAGGCCCATACAGACTTGGGCAGAAGCCAGTTTGAATGAACCAAAGACACAGTGACTGATTTGTTTTTTCATGTTAAAGAATCCAATGTGAGAGAGTTCTAAATATTTTATCATATTTTTATAAAGGTAAATTTGCTTTAGGGCCATCTAAAATCTAGAACGCCATCCCACCTTACTTTAAACATCAATTCATTGGTTAATATTTGTTGGTTGATTAGATATGAAATATCTTCCCAAATAAAAATATCACTATATAAAGAGTATATATTTTGACTTTAAATATACCTTTCTTATAGTTTAAAGCTAAAAGACATAGAAAAGTCTTAATCAATGGTGTATTTATATCAAATAGTGAAAAGTTCTGTAACAAAGTAGATGATTGATTGCCTCCTGCACAACCTTGACTGGGGCTGGGGATCAAACCTGCAACCCAGGTACATGCCCTTGAACAGGAATCTAACCAACGACCCTTCAGTCCAAGGGCCAACGCTCTAACCACTAAGCCAAATCGGCCAAGGCTACACATATTTTTAACTAGTACTTTTGGACCTCTCCTTTTGAAATATTTTCGGGCCTCACAAGAAGACTGTCTCAACATAGATCTATATCCTTCAGGATAGAAAGCAGTAAACTAAACCTACTTTAGTCATTGGATTTGGTGCCAGGAAGATTTCTGGCCATTTACAAATTAACTGTTCTTTCAAAGAACAATGTTGTACCAGGAAGGGTCATGCCACAGGGTCTGAAGGCAACTGCAAAAGTTAACAGAAATGCTGTTGAGGACAGGCAATGTTCGAGGAAGTGCGTAGGTTTCCAAGGTCACAGCTTAGAAGGTGTCATCAGTAAATACATAATTTCAAGTTTGATTGCTTAAAAAAAAAACTAGCCCTGGCCAGTTTGGCTCAGCGATTAGAGTGTTGGCCTGCAGACCAATAAGTGGCAGGTTCAATACCAGTCAAGGGCACATACCTTGGTTGTATTTCATCCCGGCCTTGGTCGGGTTGTGTGGGAGGCAACCAGTCGATGTGTCTCTCTCACATTGAAGTTTCTCTCTCTCTCTCTCCCTCCCACTCTATCTGATGGAAAAATATCCTTGGGTGAGGATTTTAAAAAACAACAAAAAACTATCCCATTATCTTACACTTATTTTTCATATAGTTATAAATGATATATTTATACTATTTGGCAGAAATTATAAGAAAGATTCATAGTAATTGGATACAAAATCATCTATAGGTTTAAGCACTCATCATAATAACAAAACAGTATGTTAACATTTATTAGCATCTACTGTGAGCAAGATGCTATTCTTAGCACTTTGTATATACTAATTTATTTAATCCTCACAAAACCCTATGAGCTATTTCCCCCATTTTACATGGGAGGAAACTTAGCATAAAGAAGTTGATAACTGAGCCCAATCTCCTAGCTAAGTTGGGATTTGAATCCAGAAAATCTAGATCTACAGTCCATACTCTTAACTGCTGTACTAGCTTCTGACGATTCCATATGCATTAGGTAGAAGTTGGTCAATGTTTAAGTGTACTACTTAATATTTTCCATGAGTCAGTGTATGATTGAAAAGAGAGGTTATGTGAACAATGTCTCTTACTTTAAGTTATTACCACTACAACAGGAAACGTTTTCTTAAATGTTAAAAATATTGTGTTAATATTTAGAAGCACTTGATCTCATGTGTCCCTACTCCTTTTCTCTGGAAATTCGTAAGACTCAGATCTATTATAAAAATCTGGATTTGCTAATGGTGTTGTGAAAATTGGACAGGCACATAAAAAAAGAAGCTTTTCGTGTTTCAAAGGCGTCTTTTCATTTTGTCTGGAAGCAATGGGGAAAGTGCAGGGTCTTAGGCTCTAAAACAGATTCACTTTAAAGGCGGGTGGAAGAGTGTTGTTTGATGATTATAACCAAAAATAGAATGATTGTTATGTAAACACTAATTTCTTCTTTTAGAAAGACACTGCTGTTGGCTCGGCAGCTGAAAGACAGAGCTGTGGAAGCACAGTCTTGTTACAGCCTCGGAAACACATACACGCTGCTTCAAGACTATGACAAGGCCATCGACTACCATCTGAAGCACTTAGCAATTGCTCAGGAGCTAAAAGACAGGTGAGTTATACACCTTGTTACTGTAGTTATGGTACAATATATAGGTACATTGTTCAATTCCTAGAATTTTCTTTTTAAGGAATTTCCTGTTTCTTTTTTTTAAAGATTTTTTAATTGATTTACTAGAGAGGGAGAAACATCAATGTGAGAGCGAACATCGATCAGCTGCCTCCTGCATGGCCTATATTGGGGATTGAGCTGGCAACCTGGTCATGTGCCCTGAATGGGAATCGACCTGGTGACCTTTCAGTGCATGGGATGATGCTCAATCACTGAGCCACATTGGCCAGGGAAGAATTTTCTGTTTCAACAACATCCTCTGTATATTCTTGTTTGAAGGGCTAGCATGTGTTAGAGGATTACAGTGGTTCCATATAGCCTTGAACCCAGATCAGTAACTAGATCACAAACCATTGTCCTCCTACTATATCAGTGTGGAACTGGAGTGAACTTAGACATACAGTCTGGTGTGACAGGGACATCTGCTACTCAACTCCAGCTCATTGTTGCCAACAGGAACAAGGGTCCATTATGTCCATTTCTCCACCCCCTTTTTAAAAAATATGTTTTTATTGATTTCAGAGAGGGAGAGGGAGAGATAGAAACATCGATGAGAGAGAAACATCAGTTGGCCGCCTCACACCCCCTACTAGGGATCAAGCCTGCAACATGGACATGTGCCCTGACCAGGAATCGAACCTATGACCTCCTAGTCCATAGGGGACACTCAACCAACTAAGCCACACCAGCTGGGCTTGCCTCCCCTATTTTTAAGAGAAGTTAGAAGTCATGAGTTTTTATATGAAGTCTTCTGATTTTTAATGTTGGTGGCTAATCCTTTTTTTAATGAATGAAAAAACAGCATAGCCCTGGCTGGTTTGGCTCAGCAGTAGAGCGTCAGCTGGTGGACCAGTGAGTCGTGGGTTCAATTCTGGTCACGGGCATGTACCTCGGTTATGGTTTGTCCCTCGCCCAGGTTGGGGTCATGCAGGAGGCGACCAGCTGATGTGTCTCTCACATCGATGTTTCTCTCTCCCTCCCTCTCTCTCCTTACCACTCTATCTGAACAAAAATGGAAAAAATATACTCAGGTGAGGATTAAAAAAATAAAAGAAATAACAGCATATATGTGCAGGCCTTTAATCTGTGTTGTTTACTTTAGGACACTAGATTGACTTTACCTCAGTATGAAGAACTTCTCTGTATACTACCCCAGAGGCAGTAGGTTCTCCTCCTGATGGTGTTTAAACATGGGGTGAATGATTACCATGGGGATGCACAGAAAATGGGGTGGGTGAACTAGACCTGTCCCTGAGACTATTATTTTATAATACAGTGCATGTTTAATAAAGGGTGTTTTAATACCTCTGAGTTTTCAGTATTATCTGGGTATTCTCATATGTCTCTAGTATTATGATAGTATGTTTTTTTTATGTCAAATATCAAGTAAATGCAGAGCATTGTAAGTTTAATTACTGCTGAGTAGCCTGATTCCCCTGCAGACCTCCTTTCAGATAACTGCAAATTTGCTTTGATCATTTTGTAGAATTGGTGAAGGAAGAGCGTGTTGGAGCTTAGGAAACGCCTACACAGCCCTAGGAAATCATGAGCAAGCCATGCATTTTGCTGAAAAGCACTTGGAAATTTCAAGAGAGGTATGAAGCTAGCAAACTGCTGTCTGTGCTGCTATGATTCACAAACCAGCAGATAGTCCTGGTGCTTCCCTGGATTGCTCCTGTATGGCTGAGTGATAGGTGTACTTATATACTGTTCTCTAGGCACCACAACTGCAGAAAGCATTTTGAGATACTGATCAGAGGTATGTTTGCACTGGCCTTGATGTAGGAAGATAAAACTGGGCACCAGGGAATGAGGATCACTGGAATATGCCCTGCCACGCCCCCATTTCTGCATGGACACGCAGCATGTGTGGGAGGAAAGACACAGCTTTTAGAATCAAGGACTGGCTTCTCTTACACTTCTGCCACCTGCTGGCTATTTGAGCTGGGAAACCTTTCTGAGCCTCATTTCTATCATCTGTAAAATGGGACTATCTATCTCACAAGTCATTGTAAGGATTAGAGATTATAATCTATATGCATGCACCTAAGATAATGTCTAGTGCTGGCTTAAAAATAAATGTTAATTATTACTATATAGTATAAAAGTAAAATATTCGAAGGAAATGTAGTTCATATGATGACAAGTTCATGTCTCACAGAAGAACCACACTATTATTTAATATAACAATAGAGATTAAGAGCAGTCTAATATTTAGAGAAAGAAAGAACTGATGGAATATAATTAGCTGTCCTACTGTCATATTTTAGAAACTTCCCTTTGCTTTCTTCTTTAAAAAAAAATATTTCATTCATAGTCTCATAATTCCAATATAACTATTTTCATTCAGTTTTAGGTTCACAACATTTTCAATTAATCTTCACAATTCTTTGTCTTTAAAATATAAATGCTTGTGGTTACAGGTTGGGGACAGAAGCGGTGAGCTGACAGCGCGGCTGAATCTCTCAGATCTCCAGATGGTTCTCGGTCTGAGCTACAGCACAAATAATTCAGTAATGTCTGAAAATGTTGAAATTGATGACAACTTGCACGGTAATAGAACCCAACTTCATCCTTAAGGTTTACATTTAAATTAATCATCATATGTTTACCATATCCAGAGGGAATATATACCATAGGAAGTTCAACATGTTATTAATACACATTAATGAACTTAAAGATTCAGGAGAATTTTTAAAAACCGAAATTTGGTTCATTTTTTTTAATTGGCCATTTTCCTCTTTTAAAATTTTATTTTCCTTTATTGATTTTAGAGAAAGAGGAAGGGAGAAGGAGAGAGAGAAACATCGATGACAGAGAGCATCGATTGGTCACCTCCTGCATGCCCCACATTGGGGATCTGGCCCACATGGGCATGTGCCCTGACTGGGAATTGAACCAGCAACCTCTTGGTTCATGGGTTGATTGATGCTGAACCACTGAGCCATACCGGCTGGGCTGAAATTTGGTTCTTTAGAAAGAGTAACAGATCTACAGCAATATTATTCAAGGGAAAAAAAAGGAGAAAGAAGTGGATATAATATAGATGCAGCCAGAGATGAAAAAGGTAAGAGATTATCCTGAATAATTTTGTAAAAAAAGATACTTGAAAACCTAGCAGAAATGGACAATTTCTAGAAAAATACTTACCAAAAACTAAATCAAGAAAAGTCTACTGGTAGAAATTATGTGAATGACATCACTAATGCCTGAAACCATAAAGAAATGTTCAGTGATTTTTTTTTTTAAATCCTCACTTGAGGATATTTTTTCCATTGATTTTTAGAGACAGTGGAAGGGAGGGGAGGAGGGAGAGAGAGAGAAAGGGAAACATCAGTGTGAGAGACACACATTGATTGGTTGCTTCCCACATACATCCCGACGAGGGCTGGATATTGAACCTGCACCCAGGTACGTGCCCTTGACTCGGAATCAAACCCAAGACCCTCAGTGTGTAGGTTGATGTTCTAACCATTGAGTAACACCAGCCAGGGCTGAAATGATTAGTGATTTTAAAACTTCCCATTAACACAATACAGTCAGCCCTCGTTTATCACGGTTAATTAGTCCAGACTCTACTGCAACAAATGAATTTCCACTTGGCACTGCAACTTTCGTGGCTTCATTCTATTGCGGTTATTTGAAAAAACCGCGATAGAGTGAAGCCACAAGAGTCGCAGGGTGAAGTGGCGAGGGACGACTGTACCTGCAAGATGATTTTACAAGTGAGATCTACCAGACATTCAAGAAAATTGATATCAATCTTCCACAAAATTCTATAAATAACTTGAAAAGTGGGAACACTTTCCCAATCTTTCTAAGAACAGTATAACCTTGATATCCAAACCAGACAAGAACAATACAAGAAAGGTAAATTATAGGCCCATCTTTACTCATGAACATAGATGCAAACATTTTAAACAAGATAGAACAAACCAAATCCAGCAATGTATTTAAAACAAACAGAAATGCAAGTGGATTGAACAATAGGAAATCAATTACTATAATTCACTAATAAACACAGTAAAGGAGAAAATAGCCCAAATATTCAAATACATCATTAATTTTATTAAATGTAGATGTTCCTTCCATTTAAAGGACAGGAGTATCAGATTAGAAAAAGAGTAAAATCAAGCTATTGCAAGAGAAATATCTAAAAGGTAAGAATATCTTAAGCCTTAATGTAAAAGGATAGAAAAAAACACACCATGGAAAACCTCATTAAAAAAAGTTTGTATGGCTATATTAATATCAGATAAAATATACTTAAGACCTTCATTTCACAATGGCTAATGATTCACCAGGAAGATAAAAAAAAAGTCTTAAATTTGCATGTTCCTATTAAGTTGAATAACAAAACTTCAGTGTACATAAAAGGAGAAATGGGAAAATCCAGAATCATAATGGGAAATTTTAACAGATTTCTCTCTCTAATTGCTCAGATCGGAAAACTAAATATTTTATAGGATGTCAGAATCCCCAAACTGATATACATTCAATGCACTGCCCAAGCAGTTGACAAGTTATTTTGGGAAACTTGATGAGGTCATTTTCATTCAGTGTATATAAAAGAGAAAAGGTCTGAGAACTTGAAGCAAAACATTCCTGATGAAAAAACAAGAAATGGGATCATTTATTGAAATTATCTCCAAATACAAAGATTTAAAGCTACAGTAATTAAGATAGTGTGCTGTTGGCATAGAGACAGACCAGTAGATGGGAATATAGAGCCTAAATTTATATTCCTTGCATATATGGAAACTAATATCTCACAAAAATAAATTCTTGCTGGATTAAAGATTTAAATATGGAAGACATTTAAATTTCTTTTTTTTTTTTTTTTTTGTATTCTCACCCGAGGATATTTTTCCATTTTTTGTACAGATAGAGAGGGAGGGAGAGAGAGAGGAAGGAGAGAGAGAGAGAAATATCGATGTGAAAGGGACACATCGAGTGGCTGCCACCCTCACGACCAACCAGGGCCGGGGACAAACTGCAACCAAAGTACGTGCCCTTAGCGGGAACCGAACCTGGGTCTCTCCGGACCGCAGGCCGACGCTCTAACCGCTGAGCCAAACCGGCCAGGGCATATGGAAGACATTTAAAGCAATAATAATAATGCTGGCTAACACTTGCTGAATGCTTACTACTTACCAGTCATTGTACCGACCCCTTTACAGATAGTGATGAATTATCACACAATTGCTATTTACAGAGAAGACTGAATCAGAACGAGTACTTGCGAGAGTGAGTGAGTGGGTGGTTGGCCTCAGTGTCTACGCCCAGTCAGTATGCTGTACTACCTCTGAAAATAAATAGAGTATCTTCATGATTCCAGGGAGGGGAAGGGTGTCTCAAGACAGAAAATAAAACCATTAAGGAAAAGATTGACATTTAAATTAAGAACTTCATTTCATTAAAAGAAACCATAAAGAGATAAAACACAAACTGAGAGGACATTTGCCACACATATGATTAAAAAGGGATTTGTATTCTCAGTGTATAAGAACTATGAATTAGAACCAAAACAAATAAGCAAACTAAAAAATGGACAAAAGTGATAAACAGAAGAAGAAACACAAACAGCCCATTAAGTATTCAAAGATATTTAACGTCATTGAATGAGGGAAAACCACAGTGAAGTAATACTGAAAGCCAGTGTGGTAGAGAGAAAAGTTCTAGTAATACCAGTGTTGAAATGATGTGGGTAATGCACAGTCTTGTGTAATATTGATTGGAATAGAAATTAGTACATTTTATTTATTTATTTTTTATTTATTTTTGTTACAGATGTTTCTTGTTTTTCCCCCATTGACACCCTTCTCCCGTGCCTGCCCTCCCCCATAGCACTGTAGTCTATGTCCATTGGTTATGCAAATATGCATAAGTTCTTTGGTTTATCTCTTCCCTCCTTCCCAAGCCCTCTTCTGAAGTTTGTCAGTCTGAACCCTACTTCTATGTCTCTGGGTCTGTTTTGTTCATCAGCTTATTTTGTTCATTTAATCCACAAATAAGTGAGATCATGTGATACTGTCTTTCTCTGACTGGCTTATTTCGCTTAGTATAATACTCTTCAGGCCCCTCCACGTTATCTCAAAGGATAAGAGATGTTTCTTTCTTACAGATGCATAGTATTTCATTCTGTATGTGTACCACAGCTTTTTTGTCCACTCATCTACTGATGGACACTTGGGCTGTTTCCAGATCTTAGCAATTGTAAATAGTGCTGCTATGAACATAGGGGTGCAGCAATCTATAGATTCAATGCAATCCCCATTAAAATACCAATGACATATTTCCAGAACTAGAACAAACACTGCAGAAGTTTATATGGAACCAAAAAATAACCCCGAATAGCCACAGCAATCTTGAAAAAGAAGAACAAAGTAGGAGGGATCACGATAGTGGATATCAGGTTATACTACAAAGCCATTGTAATCAAAACAGCCTGGTACTGGCACAAGAATAGGCATATAGATCAATGGAACAGAACAGAGAACACAGAAATTGACCCAAGACATTATGCTCAATTAATATTTGACAAAGGTGGCAAGAGCATACAATGGAGTAAAGACAACCTCTTTAATAAATAGCGTTGCGAAAATTGGACAGCTACATGCAAAAACATGAAACTAGACCATCAGCTTGCACCATACACAAGAATAAACTCAAAATGGATAAAAGACTTAAATGTGACTCGTGAATCCATAAAAATCCTAGAAGAAAATGTAGGCAACAAAATTGAAGACATCAGATACAGCAGAATTTTCACTGATACAATGCCTTAAGGCAAGAGAAACAAAGGAAAAAATTAATACATGGGACTACATCAAACTAAAAAGCTTCTGCACAGCAAAAGAAACAAGCATCAAAATGGAAAGGGAACCCACTATGTGGGAGAGCATAATTGCCAACGATATATCAGATAAGGGGTTAATTTCCAAAATATATAAAGTACTCATACAGCTCAACAAAAGGAAGACAATCCAATTGAAAAATGGGCAGAGGATCTAAATAGACATCTCTCCAAACAGGACATGCAAATAGCCAAGAGATATATGAAGAAATGCTCAACATCATTAATCATCAGAGAGATGCAAATTAAAACAACAACGAGGTATCACTTCACACCTGTCAGAATGGCCGCCATCAACAAATCATCAAACAACAAGTGTTGGCAAGGGTGTGGAGAAAGGGGGACTCTGGTGGGAATGCAGACTGGTGCAGCCACTGTGGAAAACAATATGGTGTTTCCTCAAAAAATTAAACATTGAATTGCCATTTGACCCAGTGATCCCACTTCTAGAAATTAGTATATTTTCAAGAATAATTTGGCAACGTTCTGGTAAAGCTGAAGATGTATCAACCTTACGATCCAGCAATTCTGTTCCAGTTACACACCCTGATGTCCAAACTGGGAGAAACACTTGCTCGTGCACACCAAGAGATGTCCAGGAATTTCTGGAGTGGTATTGCTTATAATAAAAAATTGGAAGCAACCTAAATATCTGTCCCAGTAGAAAGGATAAATAAATAATTTCCTAGTCCTAAAAAGGCAATGAAAATTAAACTAAACTGTACATATCAACTAGGATGAGTCTCATAAATATAAGGTTGCTCCAAGGAACCAAGTTAGAGTATATGTACAGTATGAAACCATTTATATAATATATATACTATGCTTTATTGCATAGATATATACTTATGTAATGAAAATATAAAAAATTACAGGAAGGAATAGGGATATTGTAGGGAGTGTTAATGTGTTGGTAATTTACTTTTTAAGCTGGGTAGGTGTCATGTATTCCTTATATTATGTCTTTTAGAATATTGCCTTTCTTTAAAAGATTGAGGGGATAAGAAAAATGAAAGTTTTTTATATTTAATGATAATTTTATGGAAAAAAATTGGAGGAACTTTTTAAACATATTTCCTGGCTGGCAGTAAATCTGCCATCTAATGAGATTTTAAAATGGAAATGGGTAGCTCTGAAGTCACATAGTACTGGGGATGTTGTTTTGATTCTTATCTCAAAATCGAAGACCTAAAGCCTTTTCCTTATGTTTTTACTTATTTAAACCACTCTCCAGTTAGGTTAGGTTTATTTTTGAGAGGCTCAATAGTGTAAAACCAATGATTACAAATGCCTTTTCTAAATTAAGGAATAGTGTTAGTAACCAAAGTTATTTTCCAACCAAAATGTAACATCCTACATCAAAGCCTTTGAGCCCGGCCGGTGTGGCTTAGCGGTTGAGCATCGATTCATGCAACAAGAGGTCACCGGTTTGATTCCCGCTCAGGGCACATGCCCAGGCTGTGGGCCTGATCCCCAGTGGGGGGCATGCAGGAGGTGACCAATCAATGTTCTCTCTCATCGATGTTTCTCTCTCTTCTTCTCCCTTCATCTCTCTCTAAAATCAATAAAGAAAAACTATTATATAAAAATTAAAAAAAAACAAAAAAAGCCCTGGCTGGTTTGGCTCAGCGGTTGGAGCCTCGGCCTGCGGTACAGAGAGACCCGGGTTCGATTCCCGCTAGGGGCACGTACCTTGGTTGCAGTCTGTCCCCGGCCCTGGTTGGTCGTGCGGGTGGCAGCCACTCGATGTGTCCCTTCACGTCGATGTTTCTCTCTCTCTCTCTTCCTCTCTCTCCCTCCCGCTCTATCTGAACAAAAAAAAAAAAAAAAAAGCCTTTGAGAGTAGTTGGTATGGAAAATTATTATTCTTTTTGTTTGTTTGTTTTTTATCCTCACCCGAGGACATTTTTCCATTTTTTGTTCAGATAGAGTGGGAGGGAGGGAGAGAGAGAGAGAGAAACATCGACGTGAAAGGGATACATCGAGTGGTTGCCACCCGCACGACCCAACCAGGGCCGGGAACAAACTGCAACCGAGGTACGTACCCTTAGTGGGAACCGAACACGGGTCTCTCTGGACCGCAGGCCAACGCTCCAACTGCTGAGCCAAACAGGCCAGGGCAGAAAATTATTATTCTTAAAAGAACATGTTTGTTTACTACTTCCATATGGGTTTGTGTAACAGACTGTAAAACAACAAATAATGTAATGATGCTGAGTTTGTAGTCTTAAGGTATCCCTGGTTTATTTAAATTACTTCTTTTTACAAAGGTGCACGACCCAAGTTTGGACGCCGACACAGTATGGAAAACATGGAACTTATGAAGTTAACACCAGAAAAGGTTGGCATTTTTTGTTTTAAATTTCTTGAACTGTTAAAATATTTTAGTAACTTTCAACTTAAAGTTTATTTTTTTAATAAAATTACAATATAGCCCCAGCCGGTTTGGCTCAGTGGTTGAAGCATTAGCCTGTGGACCAGAGAGTACCTGGTTCGGTTTCTGCGAGGGGCACGTACCAAAATATATATATATATATTACAATATAATTTGTTTTAATGTATAATTGATTCTCATTATTCGTGGATTCCACAGAGTTGGCTACTCACTTAAATTTATTGGTGCTTTTTTCCCCCAGGTAAGATCTCATGGTTTATTTTTAATTGAAATTATATTAGTTTCAGGTGTACGGTATATTGATTAGATGATCACAAGTCTAGTTAACGTCCATCAGCATAGAGAATTATAGAATTTTTTCTCGTAATGAGAACTGATTTATTCTTAGCATCTTTCAAATATTCAATACAGGACTAACCATAGTTGCCATGCTGTACATTACATCTTCAAAACTTACCTGTTATAACTGGAAGTTTGTACCTTTGGATTCCCTTCACCCATTTCATTCACACCCCCGCCCCCTCTTCTCTGGCAACCACCAATCTATTCTATGCATCTGATGAACTTGGGGGGTTTTTTTTGCTTTGTTTTTCTTGCATTCCACATATAAATGAGGTCATATGGTATTTGTCTTTCTCTGTCTGACTTATTTTACTTAGCACAAAGCCCTAAAGGTCATCCATATTACCAAATGGCAAGATTTCGTTCTTTTTTTTATGGCTGAACAATATTCCATTGTATATATACAGTCGTGCACTGATTAACGACAGGGTTGCCTTCTAGAAATGTGTTGTTAGGCAGTTTTGTCATTGTGTGAACATCATCGAGTGCACTTACACTTGGATAAGACAGCCTTACTGCACACCTGGGCTACATGGTACAGCCTATTGCTCCCAGGTCACAAGCCTATACGACATGTTACTGTACAAAATGACAAGAGATTCAATCAAGCACAAGAGAAAATGATGCAGTCAGGAGATGCAGTAAACAGAGATGTATGAGGCTACTGCCATTGTAACATAGCATAGTGTTTACAGCAAACAATTTTTTTAATAAGTAGAAAGCATATACTGTAAAATAAAGATAAAGAGTACAGTAAAGACATAAACCAGCAACATAGTCATTTACTATTAAGTGTTCTGTATAGTATATAACTGTGCCAGTACTTTTATACAACTGGCAGCACAGTAGGTTTGTTTACACCAACCCCATCCTACAAAGGTCACTAGGCTATAGGCATTTTTAAACTCCATTATAATCTTACGGCACCACCACTGTATTTGTGGTCCATGGTTGACCAAAACATCATGTGGTGCATGAACTGTATCCATAATTTCTCTATCGTCCAACAGTGAACACCTAGGTTACTTTCATATTTTGGCTATTGTAAATAATGCTGCAATGAACATAGGTATGCATATATCTTTTCAAAGTAGTGTTTTCACTTTCTTTGTAAGTGGAATTGCTGGGTAGTTACATTTTTAATTTTTTTGTAATTTCCAGTTTTCCATAGTGGCTACACCAGTTATAGTCCCACCAACAGTGTACCAGGGTTCCTTCAGATGCTCACCAACACTTGTTCATTTGTTGATTTTTTTAAAAAAAGTTTTTATTGATATTTTTAGAGAGAGAGAGAAACATGGATCAGCTGCCTCTTTCACCACTGGGGATCAGGCCCAAAACACAGGTATGTGCCCTGACCAGGAATCGATCCGGACCTCTCAGTCCATGGGACAACACTCAGTCCACTGAGCCACACTGGCTCGGCTATTTGTTGATTTTTTGATGATAGTCATTCTGACAGGTATCAGATGATATTTTACTGTGGTTCTGATTTGCATTTCCTGATGATTAGTGATGCTGAGAGGACTATCCTTATGTCCTCTTGGAAGAAATGGCTGTTCAGGTCCTTTGCCCACTTTTTCATTGAATTGATTTGTGTGTGTGTGTCTGTGTGTGTGTGTGTGTGTGTGTGTGTGTTAAGCAGTGTTTGTTCCTTACACATTCTGATATTAACCTCTTATCAAATGTATCATTTGTATCTTCCATTCCGTAGGTTGTCTTTTGATTTTGTTGCTTCCCTTCACTATGTAGAAACTAGTTTGATGTGTAACCCTATTTGTTTATTTTTGCTTTTGTTGCCCTTGCCTGAGGAGGCATGTCAAAAAAGATACTGCTAAGATTGATGTCAAAGAGTTTACTGCCTGTGTTTTCTTCTAAAAGTTTTATGGTTTCAGTTCTTACATTTAAGTCTTTAATTCATTTTGAGTTTATTTTTGTATACGATATAAGGGGTCTAATTTTCATTTTTTTATGTGTATCTGTTCTGTTTTCCCAGCACCACTTATTGAATAGACTGTCTTTATTGTATATCCTTACCTCCTTTGTCATAGATTGATCATAAAAGTGAGGCTTTATTTTGGAGTTCTTATGATAGTCCATTGATCTAGATATGTTTTTATCCCAGTACCATACTGTTTGATTATTGTAGCTTTGTAGTGTAGTTTGCAGTCAGGGGGCATGGTACCTCCCACTTTGTTCTTTTTCAAGGATTGAAAATGCTTTTTTCCCTACTCTCACATTTGATTGGTAATTATGCTGATTATAGAATTATTTGTTAGAAATAATTTTCCTTTTTAATTTTGAAGACATTGTTCCACTCTGTATTCAGTGTTTTTGTTGAGAAGTCCAAATAGTTATATAGGAAACATTTAAAATGTTTCACATTTCCGCTTGGGATTTAGGTGTAGTTTTATGTTCTAGCATCAGGGCCATTTACTTTTTCTCAGATCAAAAGATTCTGAAATCTGCCCTGGCAAGTTTGACTCAGTGGTTAGAGTGTTGGCCCACGGACTGGATAGTCTCGGTTTTGGTTCCTGCTAAGGGCATGTACCTCGGTTGCAGTTTGTCCCTGGTCCCAGTTGGGGTCGTGTGGGTGGCAGCCACTTGATGTCTCTCTCTCACATCAATGTTTCTCTCTCTTCCTCCCTCTCTCCCTCCCGTTCTATCTGAAGATACATGCAAAAATGTCCTCAGGTGAGGATTAAAAAAAAAAAAAGATTCTGAAATCTGCCCAGCTGGTGTGGCTCAGTGGATTGAGCGGTCTTGGTTCAATTCCCGAGGTCAGGGCATATGCCCAGGTTGTGGGCTTGATTCCCAGCAGGGGCCGGGCAGGAAGCAGCCGATCGATGTCTCTCTCTCTCACTGATGTTTCTCTCTCTCTCCCTGATGTTTCTCTCTCTCTCCCTAAAAAAACAATCAATAAAAAATGTAACAAACAAACAAAAAAAGATTTTGATATCTACTCTACCAGATAATTTCCTTATAATCTGTGTGAGAAAATGAATTGAGAAATAAGAAGTCAAGCTCCATTGTGATTGCAGATAGCTGGTTTGGTTCTCTTACTAGCTACTTGTCTCACTCAGGTACATGAGCCTCAGTGCAGGAATTTGTGCCTCATTGGGGAATTTTCTAGGTTGAAGAAATGTTCTGTCATGATTGGGGGGGTGGTTATATAACTCCCAACTGCACACTTGCAATTTGTGCATTTGTGTGTGTACCTACAAAAAAATGCGCCTCATCAATTACTCCATAACATGGACTTTTATCAGAGTTGCACTTAAGACAATGTTAAAGCTGCAAATGTCACACAGCTACTATATACACTTAATATTTTTCTTTGCACCCCAAAAATATTTATTTTGACTCTGTTATTCAAAAGGTTGTTATACAAAACAGAAACAAACTCAAAGATAGAACAAACTGAGGGTTGCCAGATGGGAGGGCATTTGGGTGAAAGGGATTAATAAGTACAAATAGGCAGTTACAAAATAGTCACATGAATGTAAAGTACAGCATAGGAAATATAGTCAGTAATATTGTAATAACTGTGTATGGTGCCAGGTGGGTACTTAACGGGGCGGGGACTGGGGGGATGGATCACTTCGTAAGTTATATAAATGTCTAATCGCTATGTTGTACACCTGGAACTAATACAATATTGTATGTCATCTCTAATAGAAAAATAAAATTTAAAAAGGAAAAAGACAAATTTTAGATCTATTTTACCATTTTATTTATTCTTTAAATTTTTTATTGATTTTAGAGAGAGGGGAAGGGAGAGGGAGAGAGAGAGACAGAAACATTGATGAGAGAGAACATCAATTGGCCACCTCCTGCAACTGGCCCCACACTGGGGATCGGGCCCACAACCTGGGCATGTGCCCTGACTGGGAATCAAACCAGTGACCTCTTGGTGCATGGGTCGATGCTCAACCACTGAGCCATGCCGGCCAGGTGATCTATTGTACTATTTTTTAAAAAGGTTGTTACATATGTTTAAACCAGATGAGTGACAAAAAATTACTTCTGCTGTGTAAGTTTTAGATGTTAAATTTTACAGTTAAACTTTTACATACATTTTACAGTTAAACTTTTACATACATCCAATATTTCTAGTTGTAATAGATATTTAAGTGACTGACATCCAAAGTAAAACCCTGGCTTTTTCACTGACCATTCAAATTTTATTTTTATGGGATTTTGGGCAGGATTTTTGTTTTTTTAAACTGATTTTGAGAGAGAGAGAGGAAGGGAGAGGGAGAAACATGGATGTGACGGAGAAACATCAATCAGCTGCCTTCTGCACACCTCCACTGGGTATGAAGCCCACAACCTGAGCATGTGCCCCGACTGGAAATCAAACCGGTGACTTCTCAGTACACAGGACAGTGCTCGACTGAGCCACACCGGTCCGGGCCAACTTTGTTTCTTATTTTTAGGTTCTTAAAACCCACCATATTGTTCTGATAATGAGAAATCCACAGTATATATTTGGTACAAGCTGCTGAAAATAGTGAAATATCCTGGCAAGGAGGAATTTATTAAAAGATCTAAGCCTCTGACTTAGCTGGATGACTTGGTTGGGTGGAGTGTTGTCCCATTCACCAAAAGGTTGCGCGTTTGATCCCCAATGCATACGAGAGGCAGCCATTCGATGTCTCTCTAAGAAACATATCCTCAGGTGAGGATTTAAAAAAAAAAAAGATGGCCCGGCCTGTGTTACTCAGTGCTTGAGCATCAACCCATGCACCAAGAGGTCACATGTTCGATTCCTGGTCAGGGCACATGCCCAGGTTGTGGGCCCGATCCCCAGTGTGGGGCATGCAGGAGGCAGCCAATCGATGTTTTTCTCTCTCAAAATCAATAAGGAAAAAAAAATCTAGGCCTGGCTGGTTTGGCTCATCGGTTAGAGCGTCAGCCCACAGACCAATGCACTGCGTGTTCAATTCTGACCAAGGGCATATACTTCGGTTGCGGTTTGTCCCTGGGCCTGGTCATTCAGGAGGCAACCAGTCATTGTGTCTCTCTCACATTGATGTTTCTCTCCCTTCCCACTCTATGGGAACAAAAATGGAAAAATATCCTCAGGTGAGGATTAAAAAAAAAAAGATCTAAGTCTCACTTCCCCCAATACTAAATGAATGGGTGGCAAGTTACAATGACAGGAAACCAGAGACTGTTTTCTCATGTCCTGCTTTACGTTTATAATTTTGTAGGTACAGAACTGGAACAGTGAAATCCTTGCTAAACAAAAACCTCTCATTGCCAAACCTTCTGCTAAGCTACTGTTTGTCAACAGATTGAAGGGGAAAAAATACAAAACTAGTTCCTCCACTAAAGTTCTCCAAGATGCCAGTAACTCTGAGCACCGAATTCCAAATTCCCAGAGGGTATGTATATTTAAAACAAAATTTCAAATATCACAAGTACAGTAGTCCCCTCTTATCTATATTTTGCTCTCCAAAGTTTCAGTTACCTATGGTCAACTGCAGTCCAAAAATATTAAATGGAAAATTCCAGAATAAACAATTTGTTTTAAATTAAAAAAATTTTTTTCTTCATTGATTTTTAGAGAGAGAAGGGGAGGAGAGAGAGAAACATCAATGAGAAAGAACAGATTGGCTGCCTCCTGCATGCTCCCCACGGGGGGTCGGGCTCACAATCTGAGCACATGCCCAGGAATTGAACCAGTGACCTCTTGGTGCGTGGGTCGACACGCAACCACTGAGCCACACTGGCCGAATAATTCATGTTTTATTTATTTTTTTAAATATATTTATTTTTTATTTATTGATTTGAGTGAGAGAAGAAGGGAGAGGGAAAGAGAGATTGAAACATTGATGAGAGAGAACTTCGACTGGCTGCCTCCTGCATGCCCCACTGGGGATTTGGTCCACAACCTGGGCATGTGCCCTGACCTGGATCCAACTGGTAACCTCCTGGTGCTCAACCGCTGAGCCACAGTGCCCGGACAATTCATGTTTTAAATTGCACACTGTTCTGAGTAGTGTGATGAAATCTCATGCTGTGTGGCCCAGGGCGTGAATCATCTTTGTCCAGTGTCTCCACGCTGTACATGCTCCCAGCCTGTTATATTAGTCACTTAGTAGCTGGTCATCAGATTAACTGTTGAGGTATCACAGTGTTTGTGTTCAAGTCACCCTATTTTACTTAATAGTGGCCCCAATGTGGAAGAGTAGTGATGCTAGTAATTTGGATGTGCCAAAGAGAAGGGGGAAACTTTGAGCCTGGGATATAGGGCTGTCTCACTGATAATCACATAATTCATTCAGGATCTGAAGCAGTGCCCCTGAGTCTAAGGTACATTTCCTTACCCTTAGAAATACAAGGATTAAAAACTAAAATAACTTGCCCTGGCCGGTTTGGCTCAGCGGTTAGAGCATCGGCCTGCGGTCCTGAGACACCCGGGTTCAGTTCCCACTAAGGGCACGTACCTCGGTTGCAGTTTGTCCCCGGCCCTGGTCGGTTGTGCGGGTGGCAACCACTCAATGTGTCCCTTCACATCGATGTTTCTCTCTCTCTGTTCCTCTCTCTCCCTCCCACTCTACCTGAACAAAAAAAAAAACTAAAATAACTAGAAATGTTTTTTGTTAGTTGGATTGAAATAATTTTTTTTTTTTTTTATCCTCACCCGAGGACATTTTTTCCCACTTTTTGCACAGATGGAGTGGGAGGGAGGGAGAGGAAGAGAGAGAGAGAAACATCGACGTGAAAGGGACACATCAAGTGGCTGCCACCCGCACGACCAACCAGGGCCGGGGACAAACTGCAACCGAGATACATGCCCTTAGCGGGAACCGAACCTGGGTCTCTCCGGACCGCAGGCCGATGCTCTAACCGCTGAGCCAAACCGGCCAGGGCGGATTGAAATAATTTTTTAATAATAACATTGCTGTCTGGTATTCTTTTTAAAAATATAAATTAGCACTTTCTCTATAATCTTCCTCTTTATCTATTGTTCCACTGATGATCTGAGTCTAATGCTGGAATATTTAGATTTTCTCTCAATATTTCAGAAACTCAGTGCAGATACTATTGGAGATGAAGGGTTTTTTGACCTGTTAAGCCGATTTCAGAGCAACCGGATGGATGATCAGAGGTGCTGCTTACAAGAGAACTGTGGGACAGCTTCAAGCGCAGCTCCGTCCACTCCCCCGAGAGTGATGCTAAAAAGTAAGTTATCTATGCTTCTCCCCCTGTTTTAATAACTCCCTTTGATATTCCTGTGATTTATTTCTGAGAATTCAGTTCTCATCATAGGAAGTACAGTGATACCTCGGTTCTCGAACGCCTTGACTTTCGACCAAATCGGTATTCGACCAGGAGATTCGAGAAACTTTTGTCTTGGAATCCGAACAAATATTTGGAACTCGAACTTCCGAGATGAGCCGAGTTGAGCCGAATGGCGTTCATTCGGCCCAGCGCGCCTTGTTTGCGTCATCAGTGTGAGTGCAGAGAGAGAGTCACGCTTTGTGGAGAGAGTCACGCTTTACACTGAATTTAACCCTTAGACATACTGTACACTTTTATTTCTTGTTGAGACTTATGTTTTTCTACATATTATATACAAATTAGGCCAGTAAATAGGCATTTTCTGGGGCTTGGAATGAATTAATCCAGTTTCCATTATTTCCTATTGGTTTCATTGCTTCGGTTCTCGAACAATTTGGTTCTCGACCGTCCTCCTGGAACGAATTATGTTCGAGAACCGAGGTATCACTGTACAATAACGGAAGCCCAATCCAGGTATAGCTGAAATGCTGGTACTTGTACAGGTCAGAACAAGGTTTTGTGTCAGTTGCCAAGCTTCTCTGAAATTCTAGTCCAGGGCACGGTCTACTAACTGTCACATTGCCTCTGTAGTTTCTTTGGGTTAGAAAAAAATTATAGTTCTATGTACCTTATAAAATGCAAATGCTTCACATCTGGATTAAAGAAGAAAAGCCAAGACAGACTGAAGAGAAACTTCTGCCTATGGCTGAATCTCAGGCCTGTTCGAGCCTTAGAAAGGTCTGAAATAGGTCTATGGCCATACCACCCTGAACACGCCCGATCTCGGAAGCTAAGCAAGGGCGGGCCTGGTTAGTACTTAGGATGGGAGAAAGGTCTGAAATAGGTGACTATCCACAGCCCTTAACTCAAGTTTAATTAGCTGAATGGTTCCTGTCCAGATCATGGAATAAAAACACTGTCCCGTTTACCTTGGTCAGACACATTATGTAAGTAAAAAAAGCTTATTTACCTTCTGAAATCTAGCCCTGAATCCTGTAAAAATACATTTGGCTGGGCATCAGGCAATGGGAAATGCAATAGCATCTGAGCCACCACCAGTGGATCATCAGAGGTTGTCTGGGATTCACTCCCCCACCCATCAGTGACAGGCCAAGCAGGAGGATGGGGTACTGAACTGAGCACAGCAGGAAGGAGCTTAATTTAAATTTGCTTAATGTTTTTCCTGCCCGTAGCACCATCTGTGTCCGTGGTGTCCCCCAACACGGATGAGTTTCTAGATCTTCTTGCCAGCTCACAGAGCCGCCGCCTGGACGACCAGAGGGCCAGCTTCAGTAATTTGCCAGGCCTTCGTCTGACACAAAACAATAACCAGTCAGTCCTGGGCCACCTGATGACTAATGACAACAAGGAGCCTGATGAAGACTTCTTTGACATCCTTGTAAAATGTCAAGTATGTGCATATCTTTATCATTCTATATCTGTCAAGAGCTTTGGCAGTATTAGTGATAGCTTCTTGTTTTGTAGTCCTTTTGGCTGGTGAGATGTTGCTGATGTGGAGAGATGACTAAAGGAAATGGGATAAAACCCAAAAAAGAGCCCCCCCTTTCCTAATTTTAGGTGACAGCATCAAGAGCAACCAGTGCAGTGATTGTAGGGTACTGTCTAGATAGTTTACCATTTGTCCATACTGCAATAGCGTTCTTATTTTGGCTTTCTTAATAATAAGAGAAAAATAAGCATTGTTTTCTCTAAGAAGAGACATTTCCTCTGCCTGGCCTTAGTTCTTATCTGTCTCATTCATTTAACAAAAAATTACTGAACAACTCTTATGTTCTGGGTACTATTCTAGACTCTGGAGATACACTTGCTATAGAGCGACAGCAAGTTCCCAAAAGCTAAGCAGGTTCAAGGAGTAGCAAGGTGACTGGTGTGGAGTGCATAAAGGGTAGGGGAGAGTGGGCCCAGGTGTCATGGGAGGACATTGGAGGGTTCTGCATGATCATTCTGGCTTAGTAGGAAAACCAGCTAGAAAACTAATGTAATTCAGGCAAAAGACAGTGGTGACTAAAATGGTGGGTATGAGAAAGAGAATCAAGGATGACTCCTAGCTTTTTAGCTTGAATAAGTGAGTGGAATGAAGGGTGCCATTTAATGAAGTCAGAGAAAAAGCAAGAGGTCTACTTTAGGTATGTAAATTTAGGATATCTGATAGACATTCAAGAAGGCAATTGGATATAAAATTCTGACCCCAAGAAAGATGTAACATTGGGAGTCATCAGATAACTGGTATTAAAACCCTGGGAAGAGATTAGACCTGAGAAAAGAAGGAAACAAGCCCTCAATCAGCCAGATTTGGCATTAGATCTGGGAGTGTGGAAGCTAAAAATAGCAGGTGTTTTAAGGAATGTTCAACTGTGTCAGATGCTAAGAAGCCGAGTAAGATGATGGCTGAGCTATTAGATTTGGCAACATGGAGACTGTTAGTAATTTTGAAAGATAGAGGGCTGTCCTCACAAAGCAGTGGTTCTCAACCTTCCTGATGCTGCGGCCCTTTAATACAGTTCCTCATGTTGTAGTGACCCTCAACCATAAAATTATTTTTGTTGCTATTTCATAACTACTTCATAACTGTAATTTTGCTACTGTTATATCTTAGGCGACCCCTGTGAAAGGGTTGTTCAACTCCCAAAGGGGTTGAGAACAGCTGTGGAAGAAAGCCAAGCTATGAATCATTAGTTAGAGGGAGATAGTTTTTTCCTACTTTGGAAGGTAGTAAGTAGATAGAGTCGAGTAACTGAAGAACACAGTTTTTGTGCAGAGGAGAGTGTACACTTGGAGTTGGGAGCAAGTAGGAACTCTCCAGTTGCTTTTATTTGCTCAGCAAAGTAGGGTCATAAACTGTTTGGAAAGAAAGGAAGTGGAACATAATTGACACTGTGAAACTGAAAGCGTGCTGACCAGTGAAAGTAACAGGATTGCTGGCCTGTGCTGAGGCCTCACTTGAAGTTCATGGCCACTTAAGTAAGACCGGTCAGTACAATTGGGTATTTTGCCTGGAGAACAGGATAGAAGCACATGCCAGGTAGTGATTTGAAATGGAATGTGAAAGAGAAAGAAACAGGCCATCACAAAAATAAAGCAAACATGGACATTTCTACAGTAATAGTTGGAGACTTCAATCAATATCCACCCCACTCTCAATAATGGTAGGACAACCAGGCAGAAGTAGAGGCTTTGAACAACCAATAAACCCCACATCTAACAGACACATTAGAACACTCTACCCAACACACATTCTTCTCAAGTGCACATGGGACAGTCTCCAGGAGAGACTGTAGGATATCTATTAAAATCTGTTTAGACTTAATTTATGGCCTAACATATACAAAGTATCTTCTCCAACCACTATGGGATGAAGTTAAAATGGACAATTGACAGATTTTCTGAAATTATAAACAATCCATGGGTCAGACAGAAATAAAAAAACCTAGAGTATTCTAAAACTAACAGGAAACAATTCATAGCTATAAATGCTTATGTTAAAAAGAAAGATCTCAAGCTAGGGAGTTAGAAAAAGAATGAACTAAACCTCAATCGAGCAGAGAGAGCAGAAAAATAGAGAAAATCAACAAAACCAAATGCTAGTTCCTTGAACAGACTGACAAACCTCTAGCTAGACTAAGAAAAAATCAAGGCTTAAATTAGAAATGAAAGTGGGGACATTACTCCTGATTCTGATAGAAACAAAAATTATAGGATAATGTGCCAACAAGTTAGATAACCTAGATGAAATGGACACATAACTAGACATGGAAAATCAGGAACAGACCTACAATTTGTAAGGAGATTCTATCTTTAATCAAAACTCTCCTGACAAAAAGCCCTGGACCTGATGCCTGCTCTGATGAATCCCAGCAAACACGTAAAGAACTAATTTCAATGCTTCTCAAACTCTTCCAAAAAACTGAAGAGAAAGAAATGCTTCCTGCCCTGGCCGGTTTGGCTCAGCGGTGGGAGCATTGGCTTGTGGACTAGAGAATCCTGGGTTCATTTCCTGCTAGGGGCACGTACCAAAAAAACCCCACAAAAAACAAGAAACATGTCCTGTGACTTAGGAGTCATTCCATGAGGCCAATATATTTACCCGATACCAAAACTAACAGGACCCTATAAGAAAACTACAGACGCAGAAATCATCAACAAATACCAGTAAACAGAACCCAGTAGCATGTTAAAAGGATATATGCCATGATCAGGATGAGATTTCTTCATGGAATTTGAGGATGATTCAACATGTGGAAATTGATGAACGTAAGAGAAAATACCACAGAGTCATCCCAATTGATGTATAAAACACATCTGACATGATAAAAACACTCAAACTAGGAATATCAGGAAACTATTAAAACATAAGTCATTTATGAAATACCCACAATTGTCATCATAATCAATGACATTGTAAAGGCCTGAAAGCTTTTTTTCTAACATCAGGAACAATGCAAGGATGCCCACTTCTATTCAACACTGTACTGGAAGTTCTACCCAGAGAAGTTGAGCAAGAAAAAAAGGCGGGGGGAGGCATCCAAATTGGAAAGGAAAAAAGTAAAATTATCTTTGTTCAGAGATGACAGGATCTTATATGTAGAAAATTCTAAAGATTTCACACACAAATCCCTGTTAGAACTAAAAGTTCAACAAAGTAACAGGATATAAAATCAATATCCAAAAATTTGTTTCTCTATGCTGACAACAAACAATCCAAAATGGAAATGAAGAAAACAATTCCACTTACAGTAGCATCAAAAAGAATAAAATACTTAGGAATTAACTAAGGAGGTAAAAGACGTATACAATGTAAACTATAAAATATATCTGAAATTAATAATGACATAAATAAATGGTATTCAAGGGCTATAAGAGAATACTGTCAAAAATGTTGATACCATGCAGAGTGTGATCTACAAATCAATGCAATCCCTATCAAAATTTCAATGACTTTTTACAGAAATAGAAAAATCTATCCTCAAATTCATGTGGAATCTCAAGGGATCCCAAATACGAAAAAACAATCTTGAGCAAGAAAAAGTTGGAGGACTCAGACTTCATGATTTTAAAATTTACTACAAAGCTACATTTACCAAAAAACTGCATACGAATAGACATAGACCAATAGATTAGAGAGCCCTCACATATATGGTCAAATGATTATCGACAAGGGTGCCAAGACCATTCAATGGGGAAAGGAGTCTTATCAACAAATGAAAAGCTGGATAAGCACATGCAAAAGCTGGATCCTTAACCTAACAACATATATAAAATTAACTCCAAATGGATCAAAGACCTAAAGGTAAGAGTTACAACTATAAAACTTTTCTAAGAAAACTAAGGGGAAATCTTCACAGTACTGGATTTGGCAGTTATTTCCTGGTTATGACACCAAAGGACACGGGTAACAAAAGGAAAAAGACAAAATGGACTCATGAAAATGTAAAACTTCTGTACATCAAAGGACACTGTCAACAAAGTAAAAAGGCAACCACAGAAAACATCTGCAAATAACTTAACTGATTATACGGAACTTCAAAAATGGGCAAAGAACCCAAATAGACATTTCTACAAAGAAGATATACAAATGGCTGATAAACACAGGAAAAGATTCACCATCCTGGATCATTAGAGAAACACAGATCAAAACTACAATGATATATAGCATCACACCATTAGGATGGCAACTATTAAAAAAACAACATGTCTTGACAAGGATGTGGGGAAGTTGGAACCCTTGTGCATTGTAGCTGAGAATGTAAAATGGTGCAGCTACTATGGAAAACAGTATGGCAGTTCCTCAATAGAACTACCATATGATCCAACAATCCTATTCAGAATATACACCCACAGGAACGTGAACTGTCTACCTATAACCCAAGAGTCCATCAATAGATTTATGGTGAATAGAGAGAATGGAATATTTTTCCGCCTTAAAAACAAAGGAAATTCTGACACATGCTATAAGATGGATGAACCTTAAAAGCATGCTGAGAAATAAGCAGTCACAAAGGGACAAATGAGGTACTTAGTCAAATTCATGGAGGCAGAAAGTACATTGGTAGCTGTAGGGTCTGAGGGAGTTACTTTTTAATAGGTTTAGAGTTTCAGTTCTGCAGGGTGAAAAAAACTCTTCTGGAGATGGATGGTTGCACAACATGCATGTACTTAATGCCACTGACCCAGACACTTAAATATGGTTAAAATGGTAAAGTTTATGTTTGTCACAATTCAAAAAAGGATTTACTGGAGTACTAGAGAGAGAGCATAATCTGGAAAAATAGGAAGCAGTGGTCAGCATGAGATGTATGAAATTGTAGTTTTAAAGATGGTGCAATTATTGAGCATGACAGTGGGAGCTCATGGATGAGGCAGAAGAATGAAAACACCCGTGGAGGGGAGATCTAGGGACTGAGAGTGCGTGAGTGCTGGATGGCCTGGAAGACAATGAAATCACCAAGAACTGTGACAGCACAGATGAAAGCCGGTGTGTGTGGAGGGTGGGGTTCCATGGGAAGGATTTCTGAGGCACCAGTGAGTTGTATTTGTCAGTGCTTATTGTGGCAACATTATAATCTGTCATGCTAGGACACAGTGGACCTGAGTCATTTTACCAAAGCCATGAAGCTGTGGCTATACTTCTATACGATACTTGTTATACAAGTCATTAAAAAAAAAAAAGTTTATTAGGCTTCAGATGTAAAAAAAATAAATTTCTGAAGAGGCAAAAAAAAGGAATTGTTTAAAGCTACATTTCCTGTTGTGAATGACAGCTCAGTGCTCTCCTTCCCTGCAGTATTTCGGTTTTAATCTCTTTGTCATGTGTGTTCAGGGGTCCAGATTAGACGATCAAAGATGTGCTCCACCACCAGCTGCCACAAAGGGACCAACGGTACCAGACGAGGACTTTTTTAGCCTTATTTTACGGTCTCAGGCTAAAAGAATGGATGAACAGAGAGTTCTTTTACAAAGAGATCAAAACAGAGACACTGCATTTGGGCTGAAGGACTGTTTGCAAAGTGATGCTCTGTTGGAATTTAAAAATTCAGGAAGAAAGTAAGTGAACCACTAGCTACTGTAGATGTATTTTTTTAAAGTGACCCTTTTCCTTTCAGAACACTGCAAAGAAATTCATCCTACTTCTTTTTCCTTAAAAGGAGAAATTATAGCACTGTAATACAGCTTATAATGTTTTGAGAAGGATGTAAATATGTAATCTTTATAGTATTGTACTAATGAGCAATGGACACTCACGGGCTTCGGCGGAGGTGTCTGACAAGGTGCTTCATCAGCTTTTGTGATTTCTGCTTGGGACTGTTCTTTGGCGACTTGTTAGATCCTTTACCTCTGTTTGTAACGTAAAAAGTTAAATGAATCCTAGACTATACTTTAATCATTTTGCTGAGTTATTTTAAAAATCTTCATTGACCATGGCTTTTTTTATACTTAACCATTGATGTAGAGAGAAATTGTGCAGTCTAGTAATAATCTACTTGACCAACGTGTAGAAAAGTTATATATAGTCTCAAAAAAATCTAGCCCTCCCCCCAACAAAATCTTTTTTTTTTTAATGTTTTTATTGATTGGAGAGGGAGGGAAACATCGGTTGGCTGCCTGCTACACGCTCCCTACTAGGGATCGAGCCTGCAACCCAGGCATGTGCCCTGACCAGGGACCTCCTGGTGCATAGGTGGATGCTCAACCCGAGCCACACCGGCTGGGCAAAATCTGTTTTGCTTTGTTTTTCAATATATTTTTAGGCCAAAACCATTATAAAAGAGACTCTTAAGAAATAAACTTTTTTAGCTTTTGGGGGCTCTTTGTTTAAAAAATATAGTCATGCCACTTAACGATAGGGATAGGTGCTGGGAAATGCCTTATGCGGTAGAAACAGCGTAGAATATACTTACACAAACCTAGATGGTGCAGCCAGTACTGTAATTGTAGGTGCTGTACTTTTTGGCAGCACAGGTTTGTTTACACCAGCACTATAATGTTAGAATGGCTATGATGTCACTAGGTGATAGGAGTTTTTCAGCTCCATTATAATTTTATGGGACCACCACTGTATAAGTGGTCTTTCATTGACCAAAACAACTCATAAAATTTCAGTATGAAAGATGTAGGTTAGGGCCTCAGTTGTCATTAAGCCTCTTCCCAGAAACTGAAAGGAGTTTACAAGGATACTTAACAGGACATGACATAAAGTTAGTTCAGCAAAAACAAGAGCAGAGCCTGGACCCTAAAGCCTACTGCACATGGCAAATGCTCACCCCTGGAACAAACTGGAATGCCTCCACCTCTGGGTGCTTCCGACTCTGCACACATCTAGGAAGGGATCCAGGGAGCTCTTTGTAAAAATTCTTCAGGTGATTTTGATTGACAAACAGAACTACTTCTCCAAACAGCCAATGTTTAAAAAAATAAAGTTACACAATCTGGAATTACATTAAGGGCTCAGGAAAACAATTATTCTTGTCAGAAGTACTCAACACCGGGATTATATTATGATTTACATATTCTATATGTGGTATACTGTCTTAGAATTGCCTCCCTTTAAAAAGTGCACATAAGTTTCGTGGGGCCTTATAAGAATATTCAATGAGCAAAGACAAGCATACTAACCAGAATAATATAAAAAGGTGTTTATTTTGTGTATATGGTAGTTCATAGGCCCTGCAAACATTCAACATTATTTCGTTTAAAAATTGCTTTTAAAAGCTGTTTACACCATTCTGATTTTCCTGGTAAACACTGGCTAGACAATCAATAAGCCTCTCTCTTCCAGTTATAAACTGGATATGTTCAACTTGCTTTAGTAAGTCTTCCCTGAATTGCTGTCAACATTCAACAGCAAACATGTTGCCTTGCTAGCTTGCAGAGTAGATTTCATCCTCAAATGGTCATCTGTAATGAAGACAAAGATGAAATTTCACTTAAAAGTTCTTTTAAAAGATTCATTTTGGGATTGATAAAAAGCAGTCCAGAGCACAGAAAGCACTTAACTCCACTCACAGTTATGGTCTACCACCTGGGGACCATGGTCCCCTGTCAGTGAATAGGTTTGGCTCCCAGAGAGGACTACATTATATGTGTCAGCATTCCAAATCTGTTCCAAACTGTGAGCATCCTTTCAGTTCATTTGTTACATGCCTAGTGTTATAAATTTTTATGCACAATTCTCTTTGTTTTTCTTGGAAAAAATGACCACTGCTCTGAAGAAATATTAAAGATGTTTCCAATATTAAACTAGATAATAATGACACATAAAATTAAAATTTTAAAAGCATCTAAGCAATGCTTTGAGGAGTCCCCCCAATGTAAAACGTACCAGAAGTACAGCATAGAGAATATAGTCAATAATATTGTCATAACTATGTACAGTGCCAGGTGGGTACTGAAATTATCGGGGGGGGGGGCACTTTGTAAAGTCTAACACTATGCTGTACACCTGAAACCAATACAAAACAACATTAAATGAAAACTGTAATTGAAAAATAAAAAACAGAACAACATATCAGAAAGAAATGCTTTGAATAAGTCTTCTTTTCTGGAACAAATACCTGAAGGAAAATTTTAACACACTGCGTACCGCATAGAAATCCCTAAGACACATGCCAGGGACCACACGTTTTTGGGCAAACTGCATGTTAGGTTCTGAGCTGCACTCATTTGAACCAGCAGATATCCATTCCCTAGCTACTTCAAGAACAGAGAACAGTGTGCCGTTTTTCGAACTTCGACCCTCAGGGCAAAGAGTCACAAATACAATAATCCTATATTACCTGAGTTTCAAAAACTGAAATAGCTAATGCAAGTGCAAATCCGAGCTAACTTGTGTGCGGTCCGCAACGTTTGGGCAGGAAAACACGAGTTAACTCGTGAGCGGTCAAAAATGTGTTAGTTAGAGTGTCGGCCTGCGGTCCAGAGAGACCCGGGTTCGGTTCCCGCTAAGGGCACGTGCCTCGGTTGCAGTTTGTCCCAGCCCTGGTGGGGTCGTGTGGGTGGCAGCCACTCGGTGTGTCCCTTTCACATCGATGTTTCTCTCTCTCTCCCTCTCTCTTCCCCTCCCACTCTAGCTGAACAACAAGAAAAAAAATGTGTTAAGACTATTCTTGACTGGTATCATTCTTAGTAAGCAGTTAGACATAACTTTTCGTGTGAAGGTTAAAACAAAGGATACCTAAATGTATGTGAAATTTGCCTTCTAGCTAGATACCAACCAGCAAAATTTATAATTGTAAAAGAATAACTAATTCAAGATGCTGACTGTATCACTTCTCTCTAGTTAAGATAAACACCCTACTGTTTTCCCCATCATGGTATTCTTCTCTTTGTTTACCATCTAGACAACATGGTTTGCTAGAATATAAATAGAACACTGTCATTTCTAACATCTCCACTGCTGGCATTCTGAATAGCGAGGAAAATGGGTCTTTTAAAGCCTGTACACTTCAACTGGTAGGGAAAAACAAAGCCACTTTGGACATCCACTACACAGAACTGAGATCATCGACTTTAACACACTGTTATCTAGAGTCCTCCAGCAATCTTCACTCTGTCTTAGCTAAGGAAAGGTGAGTGGGGGGTTAAGGAAGCAACCCCAGTAACAGCTGTGAGTTGAGAGCTGCATGTAGGACATGAAACCACAAAGCTACTTCCATCTGTGAACAGCCTGCAGAGACATGGGTGCTGGTAATGAGGACCCCACAGCTCTATGACGATGCTGAAGGACATGAAGAAATTAGACTTGGCTATAGTGGGCTTTCCTTAAAAATGGTTTGTGAATACCTACCCTTTGGGGATGCTATGTATAATTAACAAATTATTGTCTTAACTAAAGTAGGTATCATAGGACTTCTACCAGGCAACACACGCTTTGGTTACCTGGGTCCCATACATGCCTGTAAACAATGAGACTTCTTTTTCAATGTACATAATTCCAACTGGCTTCCTTAATTATTCAGAATCAGTGATGCTTGCCATTATTTGTTCATCCAAGAGATCCTGTTCCAAAATTAATACTTCAAAACTATGGGATGTATCTTAACATCAAAGAGAATACATAATAAAACATAAAAGAAGTTAAACAGAAATACTTTTGTGTTTGTTAATTCTGATTGTCAGTAAAAATATTAATTTTTTTTGTTTCATTTTTTTTTTTTTTTGGTACATGCCCCTAGTGGAAACCGAACCTGGTCTGCAGGCCGATGCTCCAACTGCTGAGCCAAACTGGCCAGGGTGAAAAAATATTAATGTTTAAGATGGCATTACATAATAAATCCATTGTAAGTTACAAAAAAAGAGAAAAAAAGATGGCATTACAGAGTCTATTTTGTAAACCAATTTAAAATTGATTGGTGGCAGTGGTAAAACAAAAATATTGTCTTATTTGGGAATGAAATGCAGCTTTTTAAAAATGATTTAGTGTTGCCCTGGCAGGTTTGGCTCAGTGGTTGGCCTGCAGTCCAGAGAGACCCGGGTTCGGTTCCCGCTAGGGGCACGTACCTCGGTTGCAGTTTGTCCCCGGCCCTGGGTGAGTCGTGTGGATGGCAACCACTTGATGTGTCCCTTTCACGTCGATGTTTCTCTCTCTCTCTCCCCCTCCCACTCTATCTGAACAAAAAATGGAAAAGTGTCCTCAGGTGAGCATAAAGAATAAATAAATAAAAATGATTCAGTGTTTTGTCTGTTTCTCTAAATAGAATGTCTTAGAAGTTCATGGACCTATAAGGATGACTCATGCCAAACATACTATGAATATCAGAATATCTGTAGTAAATAGTTGTGAAGTGTATACATTACAAAAAGATGACCTCCGGGCTGTGGTCCAACTCCGGGTTCCTCTAGCCACATGGGCTGCTGGCGAGGTCCCTCCCACCTGCTCCTGCAGCCATGCTTGCTGGGCTGGGTTTGCTGCCTTCCTCGGGACTGCCTTTGTCGTCATCCCTGAACTGGGCCTTTCCCACGGCAGGGGGACCTTCCGCAGTCCCTGGGATCTCCTGGCTAGAGACAGACTCAGGAGGCCGGCTGCTCTCAGTGCTGCTTTCTGTTGGTGCACTTTCTCTCAGGATGCCACCAGTCTCTCTGGGCTGGAAAGGACAGAAGTACGTGGTGTTTCAACTGTTTATGTAACATAATGTGAAGGTTTAACAAGTTTCTATGCAAATCTGACTTCTTTCAAAGTGCTAGACTGTAATGATATAAATATTCAGCCTCACAGAACTATACGTAGGACATGCGAGGTGGTCAGGAGGACTGGGACCAATACTGCTAACTCCTCTTGCCTGGTGAGAATAATTCATTCAACAAACATTTACTGAGCTTACGCTAAGTTCTAGATGCTGGGGATACTGCAGGAAACAGACCCAACAAAAGCCCTGCCCTCACTAGAACTTACATTGAGGTTGAGGAGAGAATCAGGCAACAAACAAATTAACAAAGCTTCACCCCAGAAGTGGTGGTCTGAAAGGTGCTTGATGAATAAAGGCTTGAAGAAATGAACTGTATGGCTATGTGGAGAACAATTCCAGATCGTGAAAACCAAGCACAAAGGCTCTGAGTTCAAGGACTAGTCAGGAGTGGAGTGAGCAAGCAGAGGAATCAGTAGGGGACCAAGTGGGGCATGGGCAGATGGCTGAGGCCCTGGGCCACGGTGGCAACTTTGGCTTTCACTCCAAGTGAGGTTCGATGGGAAGTCACAAGAGGATTCTTAGGATGGGTGACAGATAAAGAACCCATGCAGATATTTCTCCTTATAAGGAACTCCTTAGGAAGGGAATCTATAGTTTCCTCAGCTCTACTGTGTTTGTAACTATTTTTCAAAGGTTTATTTATACCTGTAACTTAAGACTTTGAAAGTAACTATATAAATTACTGTCTCAAACAAAAATGGAAATATCCCTTTAAATGTTTAATAACAGTGGGGAGCCCTGGCCGGTTTGGCTCAGCGGGCTGGCCTGCGGTCTGGAGAGACCCAGGTTCGGTTCCCGCTAAGGGCATGTACCTCGGTTGCAGTTTGTCCCTGGCCCTGGTTGGGTCGTGTGGGTGGCAACCACTCAATGTTTCACGTCGATGTTTCTCTCTCTCTCTCTCTCTCCCTCCAACTCTATCTAAACAAACTATCAAAAAATGTCCTCAGGTGAGGATAAAATAATAATAATAATAATAATAATGGTGGGGAGAAAAGGCTTCAACATTCCGCAAGTTAAAAGCATAGTGTCGCCAACCAATGATATAGATTTGGGAAGGTGAGGTTCTTGATCCTCTGCCCTCTCTTCCAGCCAGGACTCAGAGCTCTACTGTGGGTTCCCCAGGGCTTGGCCTTCAGTGGGGCTTTCCTTCTCTCTCCAAAGGTGTCTGTCGGTCATGCTCACTGGTTGATGTCCTATGAAATAGCACATGAATTTCCATCTGTGCTAAGAAACTACTGTTAAAGAGTATTTCACATAAAAAATAAATCTCACCCTGGCCAGTTTGGCTCAGCGGTTAGAGCATCGGCCCATGGACCAGAAAGTCCTGGATTCAGTTCCCACTAAGGACGTGTACCTCAGTTCCCACTAAGGACATGTACCTCAGTTGCAGTTTGTCCCCAGCCCCGGATGGGGTCGTGTGGGTGGCACCCACTCGATGTGTCCCTCTCACATTGATGTTTCTCTCTCTCTCTTCCACCCTCTTTCCCTCCAGCTCTATCTGAAGAAAGATGCAAAAATGTCCTTGGGTGAGGATTTAAAAATAAATAAATTAAATAAATAAATCTCATTTCTTCTGAGGAGGCTGAACTAACTTTTGACCAGGGGAAAAGAGAGAATGTGGATAATTATATCGTTAGTGATATCATGTAACATTTCAGGTCAGAGTTAACCAAAGTTCTACAGGAAGCACTGAGGCCTAGAGCAAAGGGACAGAAACAAACCATCGCTGACTTACACTGGGCATCACTTCACCATGCTCTCGAGCCTCTGCGTCTGGTCTGTCAAATGCCCGGAGCACTTCAGGGCTCTTGTGGCCAGTCTGAAATCTCAAGTCAACATCTCTCTCTCTCAAAACATCTCTTCTACCCTCATATGTTCTTTTATAAGGGCCTTGATCAGTGAGGGCAATTTGGCCCCTATAATAAAACTCTGCATCACCTGCTCCACCATGGGGTCTATAATCAATGTCCCGCTGCTGGCGCTTGTCACCTGGCTGAAGAGCCTGGGGCGGTTCTCTTCCGGGACCACCTAAAGGTCTCAACATATGAACTGATTTTCCAGCACCATAGCAGAAACTCTAGAAGGAAAAGACATACATATATATTTCTGAGACTTACTGACTGATTTACAACAAAATTATAAGGGTCTTTTTATTCAAGGTGCTAACAAAATTATGTAATTTAACCTGTGGCATTTATAGACAAAACATGTTAATTTAACTGTTTTTTTTTTTTTCATTAGCGGTCTCTTCTTTAATACAAGGCCAGAGTAGCCAATACAAATTGAGAAATCACTCAGTATTAAGTAGACATTTCAATCAGCTGGACGTATTTTGATTGAATTATAACAATGGCAGTTAGGCTAAAGCCTAGAAAGTTCTTTTGGCAGATACTAATCGATAATGGCGAATATGTTGTCTATATTCACACCCGTCATATATAAGGTAAATGATGAAAATTGTTCAAAGTTGTACATCATTATGTAAACATTCTCCTACAGGTTATTATTTTTTTTACCATTACAAACTTGGTTTTAGCTACAGCTATAATTCAACAGGCCTTGAGTTACGGTCCATGGGAAATACTAGGCAGCACTTCTCAAAGTGGGGCCGACGGCGTGGAGGAAGGAGCAAGAGACTTGCATGGGATCTGTGAAGTCAACACTTCTCACAACACAAAGACACAAGTCTCTCCTCTCCTGAGTGTAGAGTCTTCCAGGCTTCAGTGACTTCCTCACCCTGATGGCTGTGTGCTTGCAGAGATGGTATTTTAAATTTTTTCTCAGTATTTTAGCCCTGGCCAGTGTAGCTCAGTTGGTTGGAGCATCATCCCATGCACCAAAGGGCTGCAGGTTCGACTCCCGTGCAGGGCTCATACCCAAGTTGAGGGTTTGGTCCTCAGTTGGGGCATATATGGGAAGCAACTGATCAATGTTTCTCACTCACATTGATGTTTCTCTCTCCCTTTCTTGCTCTCTAAAAAAAATGAATAAAAATAAAAACACAGCCTTGGGTGAGATTTAAAAAAATGTTTTTTAATAAAATTTTCTCAGCATTTAAAATTTTTGTTTTATTCCTTAATATGTTAAATATCAAAAAAGAAAATCCCCATAAACAAAGGCTCTTTGTGGTTTTCAATTGTTAAGAATGCAAGGGTCCTGAAAACAAAATGTTTGTAAACTAGAGATACTACTGTTTTACATATAACTTCAGTGTCAGAGTCTAAACTATACAACTAATGTCACCTAACAAAACCACACCCTAAAATCAGTGAACCCTGTAATCAGAAACTGAAACAAAAACCAAAACAGAAACAATCTCAGAGGGAATAGATTTTATGTCCTCGGGGAAGATATTCCTTTAGGCACATCTATCTGAGTGCTTCACCCTTTGTTTTATGTGACAAGAGCATTATTTGGGTAAGGGCTGAAAACCAACAGTATAAAGAGCTGAAGACCATGGATGAGTGACAAGTAACATTTCTTCTTAATAAACATCCGCTCCTGAATCCCCAAACTGTCGGTACACCTGCCTCTTCCACACCCCTTTCTGAAGCTGGTAAACCCGAGGCTCTTCCCTACTCAGGGCTACAAAAACTCAGAGGCGGCTCTTTCTCAAAGAGGAGGTCAACAACCAATTTCATGTGCAAAGAACCAACTGGAAGCAGGGCCTTACTTGAAATCATTGCCATGGCATCCACATCCTTGAGCACCACGTCCTTGCTTATAGGAATATACAAGTAAGTATGAATAAAACTGTACCACCTACAAATCATCTTTTCATACCATTAGGTGTGACTTAGTCTGATTATTCAGAACTGCCTTTGTTCTGTAAATTCTGTGAATTGTTAACGGTGCTCTATACTAACCAGGACAGCCAATGCCATGATGATCAGCACTGGGAAGTGAAGTAACACTGGGATCTCCTTCATGAGCGCTTTAATAAATTCACCAGTTCCTTTTCCGATGTACTTCAACGGCTCTGTGACAAAGTTGGTGAACGTCACTGCCAGGGCCTAGAAAAGGTAAAAGCAACTTCATTTTTTCTTCACAGGAGTGAGGCACATAGAATGAGCCAAAATTCACTGGGCACTGAGGCTGAAGTTATGTTACATAAGTTAAAATGTTGTCATATGCTTTAAAAAGGTGAGGGGGGAGAATCACTGTGTAATGGAAATATATATTTTTTTAGAACATGGTTATTAGCAAAATAACTAAAAAACACTAGCACCCTGGCTGGTGTGACTCAGTGGTTAGAGTGTCAGCCTGTGCACCAAAGGTCACATGGGTTTGATTCCTGGTCCAGTGCGTGTACCTGGGTTGCTGGTTTGATCCCCGGCCCCAGTGGGGGCAAGTTCACCAATTGATATGTGTGTGTGTCTCCCTCCTCCCCCATCCCTCCCTTCCACTCTCTAAAAATCGATGGAAAAGTCCCTCAGGTAAGGATTAACCAAAAAACAAATAAACAAAAACCAACTAGCAATTTTTACCCTGGCCAGGTAGCTAAGCTGGTTAGAGCACCATCTCCAATGTGCCAAATTTGGGGGTTCAATCCCCAGTCAGCGCACATACAAGAATCAACCAATGAATGCATAAATAAGTGGAATAACAAATCAATGTTTTTCTCTCTCAAATCAATAAATAAAATTTAAAACACTAACAAAAAAATTTTAATATATGCAAGGGTGTTTTGAGTTACTTTATGTAAGAAATTTTTATAAAATATATTCCATACCTTTGTTGGTGGGACCAACAAAATAGGGTTGACTAATAAGAGTTCATAGTATTTTTGGCATGGGTCATCCTTATAGGTCCATGAACTTCTAAACCATTCTATTTAGAGAAACAGACAAAACACTAAGTCATTTTTAAAAAGCTGCATTTCATTCCCAAATAAGACAGTATTTTGGTTTTACCCCTGCCACCACCACCAATTTTAAATTGTTTGACAAAATAGACTCCCTGTAATGCCAATTTGAAAATGTTTTCATCTTATGTCCAAATTGTGTATTCTAAAAATCCAAATTCTATAAGTCTTATGCAAATAAAAAATTGTTATAAAGATTTCTATAATGTAACTATTTGAACACTGAGGAACTCTGAATAAGGTGGGTGGACCATATCAAAGTCACTGTCCTGGCTGTGACATTGGACTAGTGGTGCAAGATGTCACCACTGGGGAAAGGGCACACAGATCTCTGTATTATTTCTTACAATTACTTGTGAATCTACAATAATCTCAATAAAATTGCAATTTAAAAGTCAGTTCTTTCCCTATTTCATAAAATAAAGCAGAACATTCGCTCTCCCAGTTTCTCTAAATCAGGCTTCCATTATATGCTGGCCCGAGCCAGAGGAGGCATTGGTTGTCCCTGACGCCAGGAAGCAGGCTGGACTGGTTTAGTTCCCATGAACTTTTTAAGAAACATTAATTTTGGACACCTGATTACAGAATCTGCTGAGATTCTATTCTGGATTAGTCATCAGGGACTTGCATGTATTTATAAAGTGTCTTTGAACATTAAACTATCCCCACTGCTAGATACACATAACTAAAGGCAGTCAACATTACTGAGAATGTTTATAAAAATCTGTAAGAAAAAAATGAAGTAAAGCTACAATATTAGATTTCATAAGTCAATATAAGGAGATGAAGTCTAAATGAACATTCATGTTCTTTAATAAACTTATGTTCACTTCTTTAATAAACTTATGTTAAGGACCCAGAATAGACTAGACACTGTGCTGAAGGACAGAGTGAGCACAGCATCCTTCCGAGTCTAATGGAGGAAGACTGAGCATATCAGAGTCAGCGAATATAGTTTCTAGTCCTTCCCTGTGATGTCCCATGAACACAAAACTCACTGGTCGGAAACGTAAGACACTTCTTTTTTTTTTAATAGGAAGAATTTAATGCTGCTTATTAACTTGACTTTATAAATCAAAACCCTGACAAACATTTTTAATATTTTCATGTTAGTTAGGAAAAATATAAATACATGTTTATTCAACTCTAAAAATCCCTTTTCATTTGTCTTTGCCCCTCCTTTGCTTTCTTCCCCACCCAATCCGAAAAAATGAAATAAGGGAAATATAATAAAACCAAAAAGTATTTTAATATAATTAAAATGCACAATATACAGGGGTGGGCAAAAGTAGTACAGTTGTGAGTACACAATCCTGTTCCCTTTACTAGGGGGTAGTAAAGAGGAAAGGGGGTCAAATAGATGATGACAGAAGAAAATTTGTGTTTACATGGTAAACACACAATGTATCACAGAATTATACACTTGACACCTATATAGTTTTACTAACCAATGTCACCCCAATAAATTTAATTTAAAAAGTCATAACAAAAGATTTAAAAAATGTATAATAAGTGTATCTAGCCCTGGCCAGTTTGGCTCAGCGGTTAGAGTGTCGGCCTGCGGTCCGGGAGACCCGGGTTCGGTTCCCGCTAGGGGCACGTACTTCGGTTGCAGTTTGTCCCCGGCCCTGGTTGGTCGTGTGGGTGGCAGCCACTCGATGTGTCCCTTCACATCGAAGTTTCTCTCTTTCTCTCCCTTCCTCTCTCGCCCTCCCACTCTATCTGTACAAAAAATGGAAAAATATCCTCGGGTGAGGATAAAAAAATAAATAAATAAATAAGTGTATCTATAATTTGGGAATGGTACTGCAGAGAGGAGATGTTTGTTCAAGGCTGAAGAAGACTGTCTCTTCTCCTGGACTTTGCCTCGATTAACCTTTGAAATCTAAGTCTTCTTGCTTGTTCTTCTGATATTAAAGATTCAGTCATAGAAAGCTTCCTTCTGGCATTTCACCATTTCTTTTTAATTATTAATATGTTTTCTCATTCTCAGAAATTCTATTCAAAATAAGGCCAAGTGAAGCAGCAGCACCTTACCCCAGAGACTTCCAGACCAGTCCATCCTCTCAGCACACATGTTGTTGAATGGCTCCATCTTGGCAACTTCGGCCTGATGCTGTGCGAAAGCCAGCTACCAACACCAAAGGGGAGCATGAGCGCTGCCAACAATGGTTCCGCCTCCACACCCCAAACATCTATTATTTCTAAAGAGCAGCTCTTTTCAGCTCATGGCAAAGCACAGTCTTCATGCATCAAGTACGGATAAAGAACTAACTGCACCTGCCTTCTTTGCAAGTAATTAGGATGAGGAAAGAGAACCTTGTCACTAAATCATTTTTAAAAACTAGTTTAAATATGGTTCATACCACACCCCAAAATATGGCTATATATGTTAAATGACTACTTCTCATTTCATGGTAAAATGGTGTTTTGCTCTGGATGGTTTTCAGCGCAAACGGACTATACAGTGATACCTCGGTTCTCGAACATAATTTGTTCCAGGAGGACGGTCGAGAACCGAATTGTTCGAGAACCGAAGCAATGAAACCCAATAGGAAAGCGTGACTCTCTCCACAAAGCGTGACTCTCTCTCTGCACTCACACTGATGACGCAAGCAAGGCGCGCTGGGCAGAATGAACGCCATTCGGCTCAACTCGGCTCATCTCGGAAGTTCGAGTTCCAAATATTTGTTCGGATTCCGAGACAAAAGTTTCTCGAATCCCGATTTGGTCGAAAACCGAGGCGTTCGAGAACCGAGGTATCACTGTATAAAGATAATATATATGCCCTGGCCGGTTTGGCTCAGCAGTTAGAGCATCAGCCCGCAGACCAATGAGTAGCGGGTTCAATTACGATCAAGGGAATGTACCTCAGTTGCAGTTTGTCAGGGTTGTGCGGGAGGCAACCAGTCAATGTTTCTTTCTCCTTATCTGAACAAAAATGGAAAAACATCCTCAGGTGAGGATTAAAATAAATAAATAAAATAAATATTAAAAAAATAAAATAAAAAATAAAGATAATATATCTTTTATAAATTAAAGCCCCAAGGAAAATCTGTGAGATAACAATTCAACCAACCAATCTTCCTTTAATTTTTCAATAATTACAAATTCTAGAAGCTATGGAACTTGAAGCAAAATGCTTTTAAAAAATCACAATGATTTGATCAGATGAACTCATTAAAAATATCTGGCTATTTGACTCACCCTGCTAGAAAGAGCTGAAATTTTCCTGCAATGATTATGCTATTCTGATAGGAACAGCAGTGCTTCTTTTAAATTTCTATATTCAGTATGATCCTGATTTTATTTTTTTTTAGGTTTCGAGTTAGGGTTCAGCATGATCCCAATTTTGAAATAATTAAAATTTAGAAAAAAGACTGTAAAGTAATACCTCAAAATACTGACAATGATTACCTCTAGGTGATATTTAAAAATTAAATTTCTCTGTATTTATCTTTTCTAAATTCTCCACCTTAAACATACCATGTTTATATTCAGGAAATAACCTAACTTTTAAAACCTAATATTTTGATATCTTTTTTAGCAAAAAATAAAAGAACATATCACGAATCGCTAATGTAAGAATTATTCAAATGTGGTCTAGCTAACTCACTTCTGACTTAGCTGTTCAGATGCCACTAATCAGGAACTGGATTTTGAAGATCAGAACTGAACTTTCCCCTCACTAACTAGTCAAGGACCCAAAACCCAGGTACAGCCAAGCACTTGCCAATTACATCCCCCATCTCCAACCTTCATCTAAGACAAGTTTATATACTAGCTTTAAATGGATTATCTCTTCTTTTATTATGAAGTAACATTTAAAAATTTTTAAGCTTTCCACCTAACTAGTACCTTGTATAAATACATCCAATTCCATCCCAAACTGACGATAAAACTGACAAACAGAACACGTTTCAACTGGATGAACCAATGAACATACGTCCAGAGCTGGGTAGCTACTAACATCACGATGCAGAGCAGACACAGAAGCACCTCGAAAACAGAAAGAAGAGACACAGAGTCACTGTCTAGCGGTCCTGTCCTCCCCACCAGAACAATAATGGTCAAAACAAAAACAAAGAACTGCACTCAAATATACAAAATCATTTGTACCACTTTGCTGAAAGTTCAACAATACAGTATGAGTGACTTAGTGCAGGTTCTTAACATAATTATGGTGGAGTTTTAAGTTTTTTTTTAAAAAAAAACCTGTTAAGCCTTGACCAGTTTGGCTTATCGGTTAGAGCGTCAGTCTGCAGACCTCAAGGGTCAGGGGACGTTCCTGGGTCCCAGCTGTGTGGGAGGCAACCAATCAATGTAGACACATAAATGTTTCTCTTTCTTTCTTTCTCTTCTTTCTTTCTTTCTTTCTTTCTTTCTTTCTTTCTTTCTTTCTTTCTTTCTTTCTTTCTTTCTTTCTTTCTTTCTTTTTCTTTCTCTCTCTCTCTCTCTCTCTCCTTTCCCTCTCTCTCTCTCTCCCCCACCCCCACCCCTCTCCCTTTCCACTCTATCTAAAAAAAAAACACAATCATGGAAAAATATCCTCGGATGAGGACTAACAACAACTTTTGTAAATAATAAAAAATAAACAAATAGAAAACTCTGTTAATCAGGCTCCCCTCATCCCAGCTCACCATAAACACATCATATGGATCTACGCCAAAGAAATCTTCAAATCGCAACTTCCATGTTTCAAAATCATGCAACTTAAAATTAATTAAAATATCACTTAGTGCATCATCCAAGGCGCCTGGCTTCCAGTCTTCTCCATCGAGAAACTTTTGTATTTCTATCAAGGTTTGTCTTTTAAGGATAATCTCGGCATCATAATGCATATCACCTTTATTTTCATCAGGCTGAATTAAATTTGCCAAAAAACAAATAGAAAAGAGAATTTTTATTGTATCATTCAGTGAAACATTTCAAGACAAAAGCCAATTGGAACTAAATATATAATTAGTTCACAATATTTCACACATAAAATAAGGATAACAAATCTGTCTCACAGGCCGCATGAAAACCAAATATAATAAATGTGAAAAACATTTCAAAAATTATAAAACTCTATACAAATAGTGTACATTTTCCTAAAATACAGTTGGTACTTGCTATAGTTATATCCTGTAAAGTCACCTCAATTACAAACTGCTGAACCATGGCTCCCACAGGAAACACAGGGCTAAGTTCCAGGGCACACGTTTTCATCATCCCCAGTAAATACAAAACCTTTTTAAAGGCAAGTTTCTATTTAAGGACACCTTATTTAACATACACTGCTGATTCATGACCAATGAGCTCACTGCCAAAAGCATGATAGCTCAAGCCTGAGTCCAGCTGCTCTAGCACTGGTACCTTCTCTCTCTCAAGGCACCTCACAGCCTTCCTGCGCTTAGAGACACTAGCCGGCACTGCACTGGGAACGATTTAGAAGTGACATAACCACACACACAAAGTGTGAAAACGTAGCACTAAATAGACCATGAAGAAGTACATGTTTACTGTCTGAGGGCTAAAACAAGATGGCAGACTACAGCCTTGCCGGACCTCAGATGGCAACCAGCTCATCAGGCAGCTCAAATGTTCTGCCACTCTGCGCATGTCCAACAGTGACTACGAAATCAAAAGTCTGCCGGCCCTGGCCAGTTTGGCTCAGCGGTTGCAGCATCAGCCTGTGGTCCAGAGAGACCCGGGTTCGGTTCCCGCTAAGGGCATGTACCTCGGTTGCAGTTTGTCCCCGGCCCTGGTTGGTCGTGCGGGTGGCAGCCACTCGATGTGTCCCTTCACATTGATGTTTTTCTCTCTCTCCCTCCCGCTCTATCTGAACAAAAAAAAAAGTCTGCCGCTCTGTGTACGTCCTACAGTGCACACCAAGTCAAATGTCTGCCGCTCTGCGCGTGTCCGACAGCGACCACCAAGTCAAATGTCTGCCGCTCTGCACATGTCCGACAGTCACCCTGAAGGACCACGAGCACTGACTGTGGGGTTACCAATAAGGTTTAGTAATTAGGCAGATTTTGCAAATGTGGAATGCACAATAATGAAAATCGACTACCTTATGATTCAGTTTATGACTTTCCATTTGCAGACAGTTTTCAGAGAGCCTAAAATTTGCAGTGATAAAATTACACATTAGAAAAATAAAAGGGATCTCAAAAAGCAGAAAATCTGAGTTTCCATGAACATACATTATATATATATAACTATCTTTATTAGTGTGAGTTCAGGTTAACAAAATCATGGTAAACATTTTACACTCATTAACTAGTTAATACAAATAAGATAAATTATTTTGTCTTTTATATAAGTACAAATATTAATAGGCAATATAAAATGAGAAAAACCAGTGTCATGTCAATCACAAATCACTAAACACAAAAAAGTCACCAATTAATATTTTTTAAAAACCAGGAACTAAGTATTTCCAAGCATCTCCATCTTAGGTATTTTCTGGCTATTTCCTCATCTATAAAACAGGCTCTGTTCCCCTTTGGACACACTCATAAGACTTGCATTACAGGGTGCACATATGAGAACATCTGCTCTTACACTTTCAAAATAAGGTTGGACTATTTAATTATGCATCTAATACTCCTTTCCCTTAAGTTTTCTTGATTTTCTGACTTCCTGAAGTGCAAACAATGACTATTAAAAAGGGAATCTTAACATTTATTATGAACAACATGCTCGCATTATCCAATTCTACAGAAGCAGCACTTGTCGCGGTAAACAGCTTGGAGGAAACACATTTTCCTCTTCCTTACCATGTAATGACCTTCCATCATCTGAGTAAGGAAGTGTGGAAGTAGCAGAAAAAAAGCAGGGCCCGGCGGAATTTCCTACCAAGTCAACAGTTTACTAAGTTTCCAACTGCTTTGTAAAGTCCAAATAGCAAATTTAAAACACCACCAATCCCCAACTCAAATAAGTCGTTTGGCAGTGCATGGGCCAAATCAATCAATCCCCATGAACTAGAAGGAAAAGAAGAGTGGCCTGCACTGCCTTCCACCAAACCTCTGCAAAGTGGGCTGCTACCTTGGATCCTGAACAAAAACATTCTGGTACAAGGGTCAGTCAGGTATTCTCTGTTAAAGTGCAATGATGCTCTATCACTGCTTTACATAATTTCAAATGAATAAATAATGAAAATATCCACTACACTGAATAATATTACACCATCAATACTCACAAGTCCAAGCTTTCTGGCTTCAATTAAAATCTTATGTAAGTATCTCCTAAAAACAGGACTGTTTTGACTTTCACAGTCTTTCCTCTTTTTGTTTTCACATTCATCAATCTGTAAACACACAAAAATCAAGTTAGCATCGTCTATTGTAAGGGTCAAGTTTCTAACCTAGTGGCCCCATCAAGACCAAGATAAGACGCTGGTTATTTTATTTTTACTTATTTATTTTTTTAAATGTTTTTACTGATTATTTAAAGAGAGGAAGGGAGAGAGAGATTGAAACATCAATGTAAGAAAGACACATGGATCAGCTGCTTCATGCTGACCCTGCACTGGGGATTGGGCCTGCAACTTGGGCATGTGCCCTGACCGGGAATCAAACTGGGACCTCTCAGTCCATGGGATGACGCTCAATCCAATGAGCCGCAACTGGCCAGGCATATTTTTTTTTAAGTTTTTGTTGATTTTTAGGGAGAGGAAGGGAGAGGAGAGAGAGAAACACTGATGTGAGAGAAACATCAATCAGCTGCCTCCTGCACTCCTCCTACCGGGGATGGAGCCTACAATCTAGGTAAGTGCCCTGACCTGGAATCGAACCAGTAACTTTCCGGTGCATGGGATGACGCCCAACAAACTGAGCCACACCAACCAGGGCAGTGCTGGCTATTTTTCTCAAGCTTGCATTAAAATGTAGACTTTGCTGCTGTCTATGTGCTCTCTCTTTGCAAAGGGCAATAGACAACGAAGGAGCACACCAGCTTTGACTGCAGTTGTTCCGCTGACCTTCAGCGATGTTAAAGCTGGCGATCAGAAAGCAGAGGCAGCAATGTGGATGTGCAGAACATCGGGACCAATCTGTCTCTTCGTAATGACAGAGTAAGGAGGGAAGGAGAAAAGGAAAGGAAGGAAGGAAGCATATATAGAGACAAATAGAAACAGACAGGATAAAGCCAGGAGGAGGAGGACACAGCAAAGAATTTCTTGTATGTGCATATTACTTTTGGCCATTTACTTATGTATGTATGTATGTATTTTTATTTTTTGTCCTCACCTGAGGACATTTTTCCATTTGTTTTGTTCAGATAGAGTGGGAGGGAGAGAGAGGAAGAGAGAGAGAGAGAGAGAGAAACATCGATGTGAAAGGGACGCATCGAGTGACTGCCACCTGCACGACCCAAGCAGGGCCAGGGACAAACTGCAACCGAAGTACATGCCTTTAGCGGGAACTGAACCTGGGTCTCTTGGGACCGCAGGCCAACGCTCTAACCAATGAGCCAAACCAGCCAGGGCATTTTTGGCCTTTTATTAACTTCTCCTGTCAACGAGCGATCATCCCCTACTACATGGGGTGCTTCGGGAAGACAGGAACCATGGCTCTGCCCCAGTGTCCACATGGCAACCCTTCAGCATGTAAATCTTCACTTGGACAGACATCCTCTGAACTTAGCTCTACCAATACCACTGTGGTCAAGTCACCGAGTGAGGGCAAGGCTTATCTTACACACCTCAGAACCTGTGATAAGAAACTTATTTTTTTAACTGAGTGTGGACCATGAGCACAGAAAGGGGCCTTAGATAATACACAAGATAATGATGTGCACAAACTCAGGACAGGACACTAGAGAGAAGTCACGTGGAGGTTTCCTCTGCTTTCAGGCAAGGTTTACAAACCTTTAAATTTCTTAAAATTTTCTTTAAGAGAAACAATGATTTTTGTTGTTGTTGTTAATCCTCACCTGAGGATAGAGAAAGAGAAAGACAGACAGACAGACAGACATTGATAAGAGAGAGACACATTAACTTGCTGCCTCCCGGCTAGCCAGGGCCAGGAATCAAACCTACAACCCAGGTACTCACCCTTGACGGGAAATTGAACCCTTGATCCTTTGGTCTGAGGGCTGATGCTCTAAGTGCTAAGCCAAAACAGCCAGGGCAGAAATAATGTTTGGGTTTTTTTTTAATTTTTTTATCTTCACCCAAGGACATTTTTCCATTTTTTGTTCAGATAGAACGGGAAGGGAGAAAGAGAGAGAAAAACATCGATGTGAAAGGGACACATCAAGTGGATGCCACCCACATAACCCAACCAGGGACGGGGACAAATAGCAACCGAGGTAACATGCCCTTAGCGGGAACCGAACCCAGGTCTCTCCGGACCGCAGGCCGACGCTCTAACCGCCGAGCCAAACCAACTAGGGCAGAAATAATGTTTTTTAAAAAAATCGGATTCAAGACTACATTTTATCCATCATGTTTTTTTACAAAGTTTGAACCAAAGTCACAAACAATGAAATGAAAAATTTCTGCCTGGCCGGTGTGGTTCAGTGGATTGAGCGTTGGACTGAGAGGTCTTGGTTCAATTCCAGGTCAGGGCACATGCCCGGGTTGAGGGCTTGACTCCCAGTAAGGGATGTGCAGGAGGCAGCTGATCAATGTTTCTCTCTCACATCGATGTTTCTCTCTCTCTCTTGTCCTTCCTCTCCCTCTAAAAAAAAAAATCAATAAAAACATATTTTAAAAAAAGAGCCTGCACTGGTTGAACATCGACCCATGCACCAAGAGGTCCCCAATTCAATTCCCGGCCAGGGCACATGCCCAGGTTGTGGGCCTGATCCCCAGTGGGGGGCATGCAGGAGGCGACCAATTGATGGTCTCTCTCATCAATGTTTCCATCTCTCTCTCCTCCCTTCTTCTCTCTCTAAAATCAATAAAGAAAAAAAAGAAAAATAATGTTTCTATAAGAAGGCATTTCTGCATTTCCTACTGTGCAGCCAAAAGCTCACTACACCACAAAACGCAGAGAAAGGGAAGCAAACTTCATGCACACGTTTGTTTGCTAGCATTCAGCTGAGACGACAGTCATATCTTGGAAGAACCACAAGCAGGAGTTTATCTCTAATTGAGATACATCTGGATCTCAGTGAACAAGTGCTCCTCTCAGCCTAAAACCAAACCAACCTCCCTCCCTCCCTCATGCTAGCTCTTCCCACACTTGTCCCCCTACCCCCTCAGCTACCACACTTGCCTCATCTCTTCACCCCATCACTGCCTCAGTTTGAGCAATCAGCATTGCTGGTCCTCAGCCACCTCCTTTCCATCCCAGGCTCCTTGCTCTGCCACCAGCTCAGCCAGCCCCCACAACTACAGAGGATGGTTCCCACAACACAACACATGTTCAAACCCTTGAACAGCCTGACTTGTTTGCTTTCTCGTGGACACTACCTCAGCCACATAAATAAAAGGGTTGAATAAATGAATGACTGACTACCACACACTGCATCAGAATAATCCCTTATATTTGTAAGAGTAACTCTTATGCTTCTAAGCTGGTAATGGGACCATTTCTTCATTTTCTACATTTATTAAGAGTCAACTATATTCCAGCACTATGACAGGTGACAGAGAATCAAGAATAAAAAAAACACATTCCTTGTCCCAAGACATTTTCAGTCTGGTAAAGAAATAATTATAATATAGTGAGATAAATATTATTATAGGAAAATAAAAGTACAATTTAACAAAAAAGACCAGAGTAACTAAAGAAAAACCAAGGCTTAGAGTAACTTAAGAAAAAATAATATGCAGTTGACCCTTGAATGACATGGGTTTGAATTGCTCAGGTCCACTAACTTATAGTCAGTTTTTTTTTTCAATAAATGCATTCTGTACTTTAGACGCATTTTTCTCTAGCTTACTCTATCGTAAGAATATAGTATAATATACACAATATGTGTTAATCAACTATGTTATTGGTAAGGCTTCTGGTCAACAGTAGGCTATTAATAGTTATCTTCTGGGGGAGTAAAAAATTATACAAGAATTTTCAACTGTGTAGGGGATTGGTGCCCCTAACCCCCACACCATTCAAGGATCAACTGTATATATAAATTGTACAGTACACAGAAACAAAAATAACGTTAGCAAGCACAGAAAAAGAGAACAATTTAACATACTATAAATAATATAAAATTCACGAATTAAAAAAAATCTAACCTTATGAGTTAAAGAATCAAGTCTGCTGTAACATCCCGACAATTCATCAGCATATGAGAAGTCAGAACTAACCCCTTTTTTCTCTGGTGTACCATATTTCGTCTAAAAGCAGAGAAGAAAAAGATATTTCTTTATAGTTCACTTGTAAAAATGTCTTGTTAATGAAGACAAAATTTTTAATTTCATCATTTTATGACTTTTCTGGTTATATTTTTCAGCTATACTGAACCACCAAAAGAGAGAGAGTCTCAAATTTATATACCAGCTAAGAACTGAAATCAAATTAGTTTCCTACCTGATGGGCTTTACATTCAAATTTAAAATAGAAATAACCAGGTAGGGTTGGAATAATCTTAGACTAAGAGTGTCACAAAAGATCCTGTATGATTGCTAATCATTGATATATGACTCTCACAGCTCTGAGTAAACACCAATGAAAGTAGATTATTTCCATCATAGGACTGATACCTGAGATTTCCTCATTGTTCCTGAAGCAGCATCATAGTTCAGCATGTCTGTGGGGTCAATCCAGTCATCATCATGAGCACAGCAGGCTATCAGCCACAGACATTCACAAAGGAGCAGCGAACACAGCATCCTGCATGAAGGCTAAAAACAACTTTTAATAAATATAATAAAATATAATTCTTTTTAGAAGAAATTGTAATAACATCTACTTCCTTCTAGTGCTAAGATAATGCTTTCTTTCTGACAACTAAAATAAGACTTAGTAAAATGGTATTCCCTAATACATTCTCTCTCTCTCTCTCTCTCTCTCTCTCTCTCTCTCTCTCTCTCTCTTTCTCACTGAGACAGAAAATAGGGATTTTCCATATGATTTAGCAAGTCCATTCCTAGGTATATCCAGAATGAAAATGTATGTCCACACAAAAATTTCTACACAGCCCTGGCCAGTTTGGCTCAGCGGTTAGAGCGTCGGCCTGCGGTCCGGAGAGACCCGGGTTCGGTTCCCGCTAAGGGCACGTACTTCGGTTGCAGTTTGTCCCCGGCCCTGGTTGGTCGTGCGGGTGGCAGCCACTCGATGTGTCCCTTTCACGTCGATGTTTCTTTCTCTTTCTCTCTCTCTCCCCCACTCTATCTGAACAAAAAAGTAAAAAATGTCCTCGGGTGAGGATAAAAATAAAAAAACCTACAGCCAACATCATATTCAATGGGCAAAAACTAAAAGCATTTCCCTTAAGAACGGGAACCAGACACAGAGGCCCACTCTTGCCACTCTTATTTAACATAGTAATAGAAATCTTAGCCACAGCTAATAGACATAAAAAATAAATAAATAAATAAATAAATAAATAAATAAATAAATAAAAGGAATCCAAATTGGAAAGGAGGAAGTGAAACTATCATTATTTGCAGATGACATAATACTGTACATAGAAAACCCTAAAGACTTAATCAAAAATATACTAGATTCAGTCCTGGCCAGTTTGGCTCAGTGGGTGGAGTGACGGCCTGCAGACCAGAGTCCTGGGTTCAGTTTCTGCTAGGGGCATGTACCAAAAAGCGCGCGCGCGCGCGCACACACACACACACACTAGATTCAATAAATGAATTTGGCAAAGTAGCAGGACACAAAATTAATGTCAAGAAATCGACAGCATTCTTGTACACCAACAACAAACTTACTAAAAGAGAAACTGAAAAAGCAATCCCATTTACCATTGCAACAAAAAATTAAGATGCCTAGGAATAAACTTAACCAAAGAAGTAAAGGACCTATTTGCAGAAAACCACAGGTCATTGAAAAAAAAAATAAAGGAAGATATAAAAAAGTGAAAGCATTTACCTTGTTCATGGATTGAAAGAATTAACATCATTAAAATGTCCATACTACCCAAGCAATCTACAGATTCAATGCAATCCCAATCAAAATACCAACAACATATTACACAGAACTTGAACAAATACTTCAAAAGTTCATATGGAACCAAAAAAGATCCCAAATAGCTACAGCAGTTATGAAAAAGAACAACAAAGTAGGAAGATCACAATACTGGATATACCAGGCAAAGCCATAATAATCAAAACAGCCTGGTACTGGAACAAGAATAGGCATATAGATCAATGGAACAAAACAGAGAACCCAGATATTGACCCAACTCATTATGCTCAATTAATATTTGACAAAGGTGGCAAGAGCATACAGTGGAGCAAAGACAGCCTGTTCAATAAATGGTGTTGGGAAAATTGGACAGCTACATGCAAAAACATGAAACTAGACCATCAACTTACACCATACAAGAATAAACTCCAAATGAATAAAAGACTTAAATGTGACTCATGAATCCACAAAAATCCTATAAGAAAATGTAGGCAACAAAATTTTGGACATCATACAGCAGAATTTTCACTGGTACATCACCTAAGGCAACAGAAACAAAGGAAAAAGTGAACACATGGGACTACATCAAACTAAAAAGCTTCTGCACAGCAAAGAAACAACCATCAAAATGGAAAGGGAACCTTTCCCTATGGGACAGCATAATTGCCAATAATACATCAGATAAGGGGTTAATTTCCCAAATATATAGAATGCTCATACAATTCAACAAAAGAAAGACAAAAAACCCAATCAAGAGATGGGCAGAGGAACTAAATAGACACCTCTCCAAATAGGACATACAAATGGCTAAGAGGCATATGAAGAAATGCTCAACATCATTAATCATCAGAGAGATGCAAATTAAAACAATGAGGTATCACCTCACACCTGTCAGAAATGCCACCATCAACAACTCATCAAACAAGTGTTGGCGAGGTTGTGGAGAAAAGGGGACTCTAGTACAGCTAGTGGGAATGCAGACTGGTGCAGCCACTATGAAAAACAATATGGTGTTACCTCAAAAAATTAAAAATGAACTGCCATTTGACCCAGTGATCCCACTTCTAGGAATGTACCCTAAGAAGCCTGAAACACCAATCAGAAAGAATATATGTACCCCCATTTTTATAGCAGCACTATTTACAATAGCTAAGATCTGGAAACAGCTCAAGTGTCCATCAGTTGACAAATGGATAAAAAAGCTGTGGTACATATACACAATGGAGTACTATGCATCTGTAAGAAAGAAAAATCTCTTATTCTTTGAGACAACATGGAGGGACCTGGAAAGTATTATCCTCAGCGAAAAAAGCCAAGCAGAGAAAGACAAATATCACATGATCTCACTTATTTGTGGAATATAATGAACATAACAGTCTGAGGAACAGGGAAGACCCAGAGACGTGGAAGTAGGGTACAGACTGACAACCCTCAGAAGAGGGGAGGAGAGTGGGGGAGAGATAAATCACAGAACTTATATGCATATACGCATAACCGATGGACATGGACAACAAAGCTGAGGACAGCATGGGGGGGATGGGGAGGAGGGTGTCAATGGGGTAAGAAGGAGAAACATCTGTAACAAAAATAAATAAATAAAATATATTATCCCAACAATTAAAATAAAACAAAAAACTAGACCCATACACATGCTGCCTACCACAGACCCACTTTAGTTCGGAAGACAAACAGACTACAAGTAAAAGACATTTCATGTAAACAGAAACAAGAACAAAATCTGGGGTAGCAATACTTATATCAGGCAAAATAGATAGGGGCTGTAACAAGAGACAAAGAGGAGTATTTCATAATGATTAAGAAAAAAAAAAATCAAGCCAACAAAAGAATATAACTTTTATAAACATCTACACACTCAACATAGGAGCACCTAAATATATAAAGCAAATACTGACAGATAGGGAGAGATCAACAGTAACAGTAATAGAAGAGGACTTTAACAACCTATTGCCATCAATGCATAGGTCACCCAGAAAAAACAACAACAAGGAAACGATAGCTTTAAAATACACATTAGACTGACCCAGCTGGTGTGGCTCAGTGGTTGAGTGTCAACCCATGCATTAAGGGGTCGCTGGTTTGATTCCCATTCAGGGCACATGCCCAGGTTGTGGGCCCGATCCCCAGTGGGGGGCATGCAGGAGGCAGCCAATCAATGTTCTCTCTCATGGATATTTCTGTCTGTCTGTCTCTCTCCCTTCCTTTCTCTCTAAAAATCAATAAAGAAAAAAAAAAAGAGTTAAAAAAAAACACATTAGACAAGATGGACTTCACTGATATTTTTAGCACATATCACCCAAAAGCAGCATAATATACATTCTTTCCAAGTGCATGTACAATATTTTGCAGGACAGACCATGTCAGGCCACAAAACAAGTTTCAATAAATTTGAGAAGACAGAAATCCTTTCAAGCATTTTCTCTGATCAAAATGGTATGAAATTAGAAATCAATTACAAGAACGCTAAAAAAAAAAAATGAGAAACACATGGAGGCTAAATAAAAAGCTACTAAACAATGAATAGGTTAATGAAATCAAGGAAGAAATTAAAAGATACCTGAGGCAAATATGAAAATGCAACAATCCAAAATCTATGGAACATACCCAAAGCAGTTCTAAGAAGGTAATTTAGAGTAATACAGATCTACCTTAAGAAAGAACAAAAATTTAAATAAACAACCTAACCTTACACCTTAAAGAAACTAGAAGAGGAAGAACAAAGTCCAAATTGATTAAAAGGAAGGAAATAATAAAGATCAGAGGAGAAATAAATAAACTCGAGTCAGAAAGAAAGAAAGAAAAAAACAGGAGGGAGGGAGGGAGGGAAGGAAGAAAAGATCAATGAAACCAAGAGCTGGTTGTTTGAAAAAATAAACAAGCCCTGGCCAGTTTGACTCAGCAGTTAGCGCGTACGCCTGCAGACCAAAGGGTCTTGGGTTTGGTTCCCAGTCAAAGGCACATACCTGAGTTGCAGGTTCGAACCCTGGCCCTAGGCCAGTCATGCTGGAAGCAACCAGTCGATGTGTCTCTCTCACAGTGATGTTTCTCTCTCTCTCTGCCCCTTTCTTCCTTCCACTATGTCTAAAAACCAATGGAAAAATATCCTCAGGTAAGGATTAATAAAAAAACAAAAAGATGCCTGACCAGTGTGGCTCAGTGGATTGAGCTTCATCCCATGGACTGAGAGGTCCCAAATCAATCCCTGGTCAGGGCACATGCCTGGGTTGTGGGGGTCATGCAGCAGACAGCCTATCGATGTTTCTCTCTCACATCAATATTTCTATCTCTCTCTCCCTTCCTCTCTCTCTAAAAATAAAATCAATATAATCATATTTTTAAAAAAAGATAAACAAAATTTATAAACCTTTAGTCAGAGTCATCTAGAAAAATTGAGGGTCCAAATAAATAAAATCAGAAATGAAAGAAGAGAAGTGAAAATCAGTATCACAGAGATACAAAAGATTTTACTTGTATCTGGAATCTAAAAAAATAAACAAGCAAAACAGAAACAAATTTATAGATACAAAAAACAAATTAATGGTTGCCAGATGGGAGGGATGGGTACAAAAGGGGAAGGGATTAAAAAGTACAAACTGACAGTTATGAAAGGTAAAGCATAGAGAATATTGTCAAGAATACTGTAATAACTATGTATGGTACCAGGCTAGTACTAGACTTACCTGAGGGATCATTTCATAAGTAATGTCTAATCAATGTGTTATACACCTGATATATAATTTGTATGTCA